AACATTGTGAGAAACAATGACCAAATACAATTATAGAAAGAAAATTGCAATTTCCAATGTGCAATCTTGCCCAGGCACGTGTTTGCTTAGTCTAGGAGCTAGGCTTGGTAGGGTGCTACTAGGATAAAGGTCTTGCTTGCTTTTCAACATGAACGTTTGGTTCAGCACTATAATTAATGGGGTCACTCCAGCATGTCAGCCAGTCTCATTTATCAAGGAGAGCTGTTTAATATTGAGACAATTGTGCCCTCTGGTGGACAGTTCCTCTCTTGTCGAAGTTTTACGTGTCACCATTTACTCCAGCACAATACTTTATTTTGTTACTTTCGTCATGAAGTTTCAATGTAACTGTTCCATTTTTGTAGACGGTGTTAATAATATATTCTTGGTTCTTTCGGTAAAGTTACGTACATAGAAAATAAAAATAAAATAATACATTGAAAATAAAAGCAAAAAAACCCCACGACGTTCCGATCGCAACACAAGCGGTTTTCATCAGGCGGTGTTAATATTATTTTTACGTAGGCCTGAGTTTGAATCAGTGCATCAATATCTACTGAGTCAGATGCATTTTCAGAGTGCTACAAGACTATAGTGATAGCCTTCAAAGACCAGACAATTGGAGAAATCCGTAAAGGCATACATAAGCAAACAGTAAATGTAATAAAATATATAAGATCACCGACGTTTTGGGTAATGGCCCTTATTCATAGCACACAGACGGAGAGGCCAGACTATGAACATGTATTTTTTCTTCCCTATAATTTATTTTTTATTTAGTTTATCTTTTCTCTGTGCCCTCCGTGGTTACGTCTCAGCAGTCTGGTGAATGTAGCCGTGTTACAAATCTTGGATTGATTGAGATAGGGAACTAAAAGTAAACTAAACTATGTATATTTTACCAGATAAAGCCAGTGAGCTATTAGCTCTTTTTCAGAAGCGACATGGCCACAAATGATAGCTCAACGAAGTGGTTTATCAAGTGCAAATTACAGTATTATCCCAATATTTAAAACGCACGTTTCTAAATGTGAAGAAAAAACCCAAAGGACCTCAACAAAAATCCATGCTACCATGGGGAGAACATGCAAACTCCAAATATACAGGCATCTGCGTTGGAATCGAACCCACGAATTCCTGCATACCAGGCGAGGGAGATAACATCTTGCACCATAGGAGACTGCACTTAACAACCATTTCGCCTAATGATAATGAAATGACAAAAAGTGTTCTGATGACCAGTTTTTAAATAGGCAGATGAATAGTTGTAGCTATCCAGTACAAGACAAGCCCTTTAATAATCACGTAATTCATGAAGGGGTTGTCTTTGTAGGCAGTGTTGACGAGCGTGTTGAGGTTTTTTTTTTATAATATGCTTTTGCACCACTGCCAATGCAGCATCACCAAATGATTTGCGCGAGAGGACAGATACACACACATATATTCCGAGGGTAATTATTAAAGGCGGACTGGGATCAAAGTGACGATATAAAGTGGCAAGACGAGAGAGAGCAGGTTGGAGTGTTTTGGGAAAACTGATTTTGATAATAAAAAGCAACTTACCAGCATGTAAAATAAAAGCTAATTAAATCAATGCATTTGTCTTGTATTGTTGTTGCATATGTATTAGAAATACGGCCGAGTTACCAAGAAATGTAACAAAAGTTGAAGAGTGCGAAGAAGCATGGAGAGGTGCACGCTTGTTACAGAAAGATAAATACACGGATCAGATTGTGAATGCAAGTGAGAGACGTAATGATTGCCTTCTCAATTGAGTAAAGTGGCCTTGGGCAGGACAGACGCATGAGTGCATCAATTTACATTGAAGGGACGATGACCGAGACTTTACGAGGGAGTGGCCGCTAAAGGAGGAACATGGCCAACAGCACGTGCATCGTGGAGATGGAGCGACGAAATCAACTCATGTGCAACAGCGAGATGGATTGTCATATTGCAGAGCTGTGGGAGATGGCGACGTCTTGGAGAGGCCTTCATCCAGGAGTGGATAGAAACTGACAAACGTGCTTTCCTCCATATGGTTCCATGGGCCAGAGCGGAAATTGGTATCACCTAAGTAGCAAAACTTTAGGGTGCCGATTTGTTTACGTTACTAATAAAAGTAATTCACTTGATTACCTCACTCATTTGAAATGGTTATCACGTAACCACATGTTATTGGCCACATAGACAAAATGGAACAAAGCTTGGCCTTCTCAGGTGGTACCAAGGGAAATAACTGGTCTAGGCTCATGATAAAATTAGAGGGATGGCTGCTTTACATATACGTGTACATTCTCCCATATATTCACTCACGTTGCTTAATTGTATTTTTAAAATATTGACATCTCAAACGTGTTTATGAATGAAACAAGTGCTTTGTTTGAACACAGAAACATTACAGCAACCTGCACTGACCAGAGTGGTGAAGTATGGGCAAACAACCGCCACGACTGACATGGCGTGGGGATACCTTCATCCAGCAGTGGATGAACAAAGGGCTGTACATGTATACTTGTGTCGTGACATGGAATTGGCTCACTATGGCGCGTAGCGCTGGTTGCTGGCAGAGAAGGGGACCTGCTGTTGTAGCAGCCCTGTCTGCCAGCAGGTCATGTGATAGGCCAGAGAGAGGGATGTGGGGCAAAGGTGACAGAGGGGGCACGTGAGGTAAAGGCCGGGAACCTTCTAGTAGGTTCTAGAAGGGGGGCGGGGCCGTAGGCGGAGCGAGGCCACGCTGGGTGGATAAAAGGGGGACCCCGAGCAAGTTTCGGGGCTGTTGGAGTGGAACCCGTCGTGATGCTGCAGTCTTCGTCACCGTCTTCACCTCCTCGGCGTTGTTAGTCAGGCAGCCGGTTAGCTGTCCTGACCATAGTGTAGTTACTCCCTGTACCTGTGAAGGCGATAATAAATAGAGTGCCTCCTATTATTAGTGTCTCTGAGTGACTCGCTCCACTTGTATTACTTCCACGACCACGTGGAAAGTAAAGTGAAGGTCATTCAAATATTTCTATGAAGACCACGAGATGGCGCTAATGTAGTGGTGATTTGAGTGTCTTGTCTGGCTCTCCTGAATCTACACAGGGAACGTGAATTTTTAACCAAAGGAGGCACGGTAATAAGCAGCCGTATAACATTACAAGTCGTCGCTTGTACCCTGAACGCACACGGGAGTTTCATAAATTATAGGCTGCGCGAATTGTGTTGCGGGATCCACACTCACGTTCTCGGCTCTCCTTCGAAAGGTCAAATGCTGACGGATTTTCATCCCCGAACGTGCGATTGATCGAGAATGCTGAATAGCCCTTCTTGAATAGGAGGTTGAGGCGAGCTAAATAAACATATGAGGTACATATACACTTTACAATAATACAAGTTCTAATAATTCCCTTCGTGAATATATTGCTGGATAAAGGGTTCCCCATCCTGTGTTGGTAATGAGGGTGGGGGGGTAATGTTTTGATCATACTTCGCTAGACTGGTCAGTGGAGGGTGATGAAGAGGGGGAACCAGTGCTGATGTTAGCTGTTGCTGGGGATCAAACTCAGGTTTCCAGGTCCATAGAGCAGTGCACTGACCACTGCACTCCACACAGCACCATTATAAATGTCCCACAAGTCATGCTAATTATAAAATAAATAAGCCGTAATAAATCAGTTCCCTCAGCTTTAAATACTGGCCATGGTATGGTTTATGATTAGGTTATAAAGTACCACTTACCACATAAGCCATTCTCAGCACATTCATAGAGCTTAGTTTTTCAATTCTCTCTTAGATATCAATGTGAATTGTAAATGAAGATTATATCCCTGAAATGAACATATGAGAAAACAAAGAGTACTTATCAATCAAATATTAAAACAGCACTTGGTAAAATCAAATTGCACTACACCACACGTACTGCTGTAATTGCTTTGTGATGATCTCAGGTAAAAACAGGTTAATGATACCTCAGTTTGTCGATATTCCTGATTTACATTTATAGTTCTTTGTTTAAAAAAAAAATGTAGTCTGAAGAAGTGCAAAACACATGAAAGGCTGGGAAACGAATGCCGGTCTCTTGGAATCCATGTGTGGATCCCAGGATTGATGAATGGTGTGAGTTACACAATGAATATGGCAGTGAGTTTGGAAAGGACTAAGTTTGTTGGCTGAGTGCATTAGGTTTGTTGGCTGCTGTTCAATTGGTGATACATATGTAATAAAAATGTCTGTATTAGTGGCGAAGCTAGCACTTCATTCTGCACTAAGAGCAGAAAATATCAACCGTGGCCGAATTAAACTTTTAGTCCTCTGTATTTTCGCATCCACATAGTCTTCCCTTGGACAAGGCCCGGTGCGAGGTTTTATTTACGAAGGCAATGTGAGGCACTCCTCCTCAGTGTCTCTCTTCTCGGCCCCTATTCAGAAGTTGTCTCTGCCATGGGCATAAACGTTCAACAATAAAAAGGCCTCTTCTGTAGATTGCACATCCGCTCACTAAGCACACCGCACTTGGGAATGAATTTGAGACGTTAAGTTAGGCTGCCTCTTGAGCGTAGCATACATGCCAACTCTACTAATTTAAGCGGTCAGCTGCCAATTGTCTAATCCCGTTCTGCATACCGATTTTAAAAGCTAACCATAAAGTTTCATAACATTTTGGGGGATTTTTTTTCCTCCCCCTGATGCCTTTATTTTAACTTATAAAAACAGCAGGCTACCCACTCAAGCCTGCAGAATCAACAAGTGTGGTGTGGGTCCAGTAATTTCGGAGTGAAAGGGAGAGAACGATTGCAGTGAAAGTATGGTGTGGCTGCGTTAAGCTGGAGATAATCTGACCCGCCACCCAAGGCTTCAGCCTTTCTCTATGGAGTGATGCCTTGACCGAGGGTAACCCCTTCATCACAGCCCCCCTCCGCCCCCCCGATTGGATAAAGGCAACCACAAACACCAGGCTCCCCCAATGGGGTGCAGCGTCTGGGTGGGGAGAGAGCAGTGGAGAGATCCACGATTGGAGGCTGCCCAATGCACCATCATCAACTCAACTCGCATACTTTCCTCAAGCTTTTTGTTTTTGAGACCGAAAGGGCAGGGAAACCGCTTGCATGGTTTTGCCCAAATCAATTGAGACCAGAGAAAGTGTGTTACTGAGGGCAGGCACAAATGAATGTAGTGTGATTTTTGGCCTGGGCTTGGTGCAGGAAGAAATGTCCAACCAGGTCCTTTGATAAAAAAAAAAGTTTCATCTTTTTTTTTTACGACAAGAAAAGAGTTGTGCGGAACAAGAAATGTGGCCTTGCTACGTGAAAGCGTCGTGAGCGCACGCAACCCACGTGCAAAAAGCGCTCAGCCAGCCGGTTGTGAGATCAATTGTATATTGTGCCTCCCCACCCAAAATCGAAAGCTACATGGTATAATCCGTGGTGGCAAGGGGGGGTCCCATTAGCCTTTTCATGGGACCTCTGTGATTAAACTCTGGAGGGTGCATGAGAAGAAGGTTGTGAGAAGGCGGCAATGCATCTGCGACCGTGGGTCCTATGGAGATAGAAGGGTCTTGACTCGAGTTGTTTACCTTCTCAAGTGACGCGGGTACCGCTCGTTTCTTCGCATGGGAATATCGCAGCGTTAGGCGACGCAGGTGTTAGGCAACTAGATGGACATTATTTGTAGGCAATGGTTGATTATTTTAGGTTAGAAATGTTGTATAGACGGCTACAATCACCTGAGTGAGTTTGGGGTGTGTCTAGGAGTAAAAAAAACTAATTCTTTAAAGTTTTCCAAACCATTGATTTCCATTGTCTGTGCGTGAATGGTCGAGCTCTTAGTTCAGTCTAGCCCTAAACAAAGCAGAACGAAAGGGACATTTAAAGCTGCCCTGCCAACCTGCATTTCTTGTACTTCTTGCTGCGAGATTAACTTTACATCAACATCGAGTTGCAAACCCGAACAGATTAGTAATATACTGAAAAAAAACCCCAATAATAACAAGGAATTAGTATATCGATTTGATTTTAAAACGAGAACAATTGTGTACATACAATTGTGCCTTTGTGTAAAATCGTCCGTGCTTGACAACTTTGAGACATGCGTGGGAAGTTACTGCGGCCGCCACCGCTCGTGTGCCTGGCTCTCGCGCTGAGTCTCTGCCGCACGGGTCAAGCCCAGTACCTGAAGTGGTTCTGGGAGCGGTGGAGTGGGCAGCAAGAAACCACGACAGCGCCGTCTGCTTCGCCGTCACCTACACTGCACGGCGATGTCTCAGCATCTGCCGTCACGCGGCCTCTTGGTTTTAGCACGGCCAGCCCGGCGACCGTCGCTGAGGAGGAAAGTAGCGGATTCAAATCTGACGATTTGGCCAAAAATGGCAATTCTGCAGATGAGAGGTTTGTCCTCTCGCAGCGTGAGGAGTCGTCAGGTCAGCGTGAGGACTCCACGCGTGGGAATGAGGATGTGTCGGCGAGATACGGTGACCTACTAAGTCAGCTTGATGGCATGAGTTCTGTTGGTTCTACGGTTGGGCCACTCGAAGATGCCCTACCAACATACGTGGAACCGTGCCCTCTACTGCACTGGTATGGTCCGAATGGTAAGTGTGCTTTTACTTGTTTGTATAAACTATTTTAACTTCTGAAGAGCAGCTTGCAACACTCATAGGCAGCTGTTGTAAATAATTAAAGAAATACAAACATATATCTTTTATCACAGTTCAGTGCAATCAGAGTAATGTGAGAATGTGTATAGATTGCCAGAGTTAGCCCCATAATTTAAAACGTTTGTGGTTGCGATTAACTACAATTTGTGCTAACTGAGCTGTGCATATGTACAGGAATTTCAGATTGCATTCATTTATTTAACCATTGTTGTGTTTAATTGCAAGTTGATACATATCCAAAAACTATATTTTGTCCACTGCTTGAGTTTAACCAGTCTGTTTGCCATCGATGATTCTTCCTCACTTAAGGAGGGCAATGTATAATAACAAAGCTCAAGTTATCTTTCCAAACTAAAACAGCCATTTCACAAGCAGAATTTTTCTTTTCCACTCCAGTATTATATCTCTCGTTAAATTACTTTGTCATGACGTTTGAATGTTACGGCACTTGAATGGCATAACAAAACAGAATAAATACCAAAGCCTTACTTTGAAAATCAGCCCTATTTTAATCGTGGTATTGGTATTTTCTCTACAAACGGTCATAGTTTATTTAACATTCACACATGTGCATGCTTACCGGCTTTCGATGTAAAGTTCTAAGGCAGATACACTGGGTTGATGGTGTTTTGGTGTAATGCTTAGCACACTGGACTTGCAATCCAGAATTTTGCTTGATCAATTCAATGTCGCCTCTGTCCACCCAGCAGCATACACGGGAACACCACAGTTAGGTCGACTGGCAGGATAGTGTGTGGTGGGGCAAAGTGTGTGTACTCCCACCTCATTCAAGTTATCTTTCCAAATGTTTGACTTGCATCCCACTGGGATTTTTGTACACAGCATTGGTGTACGGTGCTTTTTCTGCAATATTTTGCTGTCTTTTCTTGGATTTTCTGTTTGCACTTAGTCACATAGTCACTTTAAAATGTTTTCTTGTTCATGTTTTTGTTTTTCGTTTGTTGCGGTTGCACCTGATTCAAGAGCCGAATGGCTCACAAGGGCTATGCCAAATCAATTAAACTGAAACTGATTCAAGATGTCTGGCCAGCGTGAAACAGTAGACCAAATACCCTATGGAAGGGTTGTTGAGAGCTCCGTCTCGTGGACCTTTGCTCAGCAGTGGCATGAAGCAGCAATTGGAGGGCTGAATCTTTACCTATGCACTGTACTGGATTACAAGATGCTCACAATCTTACCTTTGGGCTCACTACCGTAATTGCTCTACCCAATGAATTGCACTTCTGAAGGATCTGACCTTTTTGCAAGCTACGAAACAATGTGATGTGTTTACACTTTCAAATATGATGTGTTCAATAATGTGATGTGTTTAAAAACAAGGCTCTAAGTTTGCTATTCATTTGTCGCCTTGTGCCTTAATGGACATGTGGTGAGTGCTTGAAGACATCCCGTTTGACCCTGTCTTAAGAAAGAAAAATGCTGGCATTTGTTTGCTTACAAAACACCCGTCCACTTTGCATTTATTGCTTTGGATTGTAAAATGTAAATTGAATTCTTTGTGCTTCTGTTTTTTGTTGCCAAGTCTTGGCAAGGAATTGGCTTCTGTTGTGTTGAAACGACTAAGTCCATTCTACTTAAAAACTCACACTTAAGAAGGAAACCAGCACTTTAATTTTTTGTTCTGGCAAATGCAGTGCTGGCCATAAGTTTTCTTCTGAGAGCTGAGGAATTATTTGGACTGAAACCATTTTAATTTGCTGTCACCGCAGGTTAAGATTAATAATTCTAGCAGTGGCTGCAGTGCGGTTTAGAGGTGGCTTACACATACTCACATGCTTAATCATTTATCAATGAAATATTGTTCAAACTGCAATGTCAGCTTATATGTGCCTCAACATTTCTGCTTTAAATTCCTACCTGATTGACTCAGGATTTAACTCAGATATATAGGAGTATCCACTCCTTTCTTTCACACTGAGGACAGTAATTGTGATGATGGGGCTAATGATGAGGTGTCACCCCACACCCTTTGTTTTTCACCATTGCAGGTGAGGAGCATGAAGTGGACCTGACTCAGATAGTCGGCGTGCCTCTGCCTGCTGCGGTCTCCTTTGTAAGCGGCTTCGAAGGCTTCCCTGCCTATCTGTTTGCCGAGGAGGCCAGCGTGGGCCGACCGGCACAGAACTTCCTGCCGGAGCCGTTCCCGCAGGACTTCTCGATCCTGTTGACGGTGCGGCCCTCGTCGGACGAAGGGGGCGTCCTCTTTGCTGTCACGGACTCGTCGCAGCAGGTGGTGCAGCTCGGGCTCAAGCTGTCGCCCGTGGAGGATGGGGAGCAGACGCTGCTGATCTTCTACACGGAGTCGAGCACTGCCGACACGCGCATTGCCGCTGCCTTCCCAGTAAGGGGGGGGGGGGACGGGTGGGGGGAGGCGGCCCCCTGTGCCACATGCATAAAAGTTCCTCTTAGAAGATTTTTTTTTTAACATCAATAAACAAAGTACACTAAATATCAGCCACATCCTCTATTAGCGCAAATTGTTTTTTTTTTTTAATCACAGTGAATCACAACTCGGTACAAGAATCCAACACGAAGTTGTTTGAGGTTTTTCACTTGAGGTGACGTAGCACTCCTATAATTTCTTGTGCACACCATTGCTGCCAGAAGGGCCTCCAACTCGAGGAAGCCCTAGAAAGCCCTGCTCGAGGGTATTTGGCCTAAAATAATCGGTTTTTTACCCTTTTTTCTGGGAAAAAAACTGACACCTTTTTACAAAGAATCATGTTTGCATTAACCACAATACCTGCAGTCAAAATGCAAAAAAACACTTGCTACTGGCAAAGGAGGCCTCATGAGGTATTTGGCCTACTCTACGATGCTGGCCAGGCATCTTGGAAAAAGTGGGGATACCCACACTTTACCCCATCTTAATCGCACTGTAAATTAAAAACAAAGGTACTCGGTCTGAAGGACATGTTGTAAAAATGAAAATATTTATGCTCGTGATCGTGATGCAGGGCAACAGGCATGTTTTTTGATGTCCCGTTGATATTTTTATTCATTTAATAATATATTGCAGGCTCTTTAAAATAAAGCAAGCTTGGGAAGTTGTATCATTTTCTGGTCGTCCGCAGCCATCCCTGTTAAAAAGACAAAAGCGCTCACGCACGTGTCCCTGGTGGTTTTGCGCGCTACAGCTTCCCGTGGCGACGAACCGCTGGGTGCGAATGGCGGTGTCCGTGGACGGCGACACGGTCTCGTTCTACTTCGACTGCAAACTCGTCGAGCGGTCGGCCATCGAGCGTTCCAGCAATCCCCTGGACATCGAGGAGGAGGCCAACGTGTTCATCGCGCACGGTGGCGATGCTGACTCCGACAAGTTTGTGGCAAGTTTGGCTGGGCCTCTGGCCAGAGAGCTTTTTTTTTGCCACATTTAAACCGTACAAGGTCCACTTTGCTCCGCAATCAGCCGATGGCTCATATGGGCAAGGTTAAACGTGGAATCCATCCCATAACCCCACTGGTACCCCACATGATCTCATGGACTTATCCCAGCAAAGAGAGAGAGAGAGTTAGTAACTGAGTGTAAATAGCATTTTCATTTCAAGGAAGTTTGATATGGTATACATTTTTTGTTTATCAATAAATTTAAAATAGCCGATAATACAGTAATGGTCGCATATATCCGACTCTCGCATATCTGACCTGAACAACTAACTGCCCGTACCCAAACGGTACCTGTGCACGTTGTAACTGTCATTTTCTATATGTGTTCACATATCTGAACTTTTTACATATCTGCCTATACCTCAGTCCGCAGGGAGTACTGGAGCACATTCATTGGCCTTGAAAGGGCAATTAAAACAAAGGCATAGATTGTTAAACACTGTTGGCACGGTTATGTTGGCGACAGCCTGGCGGTAGTCAAAGGAGGTAACAGGAATTTAGGAAATGTTTTCTGGGCTCAGAGCTTGTAGAGGCACAAGTGAAACTAATCACCGCTTTCTTGTTGCTGGTGTGAATACAGTGGCTGCATTGAATGACCACTTTGAAAAGGTACTGTGCGGAGAGCATTCTAAGAGCCTGTGTTGGTACAGGATTGACCCGTGGCGGCAGAGGGTGTGAATGAGGAAGGGTTTTAAACCTTCGCATGTTACCCCCCCCTGCTGAAAAACGTGGTTCCCAACGCATGAAATATCCCACATCTGTTGGGCAACCTCACAGCCCGTGCATAATGGCGCAAGTGTTGAACATCCAGTTGGGAGGGAAGCACCATTATTATACGAGTAGCAGAGAAAATGTTCCTCTGTGGGATTATGCTCCGTCATCCTGCTCACAAGAAATCTGGCTTTGTGCGGTTGCTGATCCCACCCCACCCCCGCGGCATTGCAATGCTAGGCGAGAACAGAATCCTCTTGTTAATTTGAAATCTGGCCCATGGAGAGGTGGATTTGGGGTCAGGAAAATGCTTTTGATTGGATCCCGCCGTGTGGTCCTAACATCGCTGCGAGGTTTCCGGTGTCTTGTTTACCTTCGCGATTTTTTTCCAGGTATTCTTATGCAGGTATAATTTTGATATGCTTCAGTATTTCCTGAATAATTAACGTGAACGATAATACGTAGTGGTGACTGGCTATGGCATTTATGCAGCTGGGAAGAGGATTTGTTTCATTGAGATGGGCGAAGGTGGGCTCTTGGGGCATGGGGTAGGGCAGAAAAGGGCACCAGGAGATTTAGGAAATGGTGACATTTGAGAAATATCTGCAGGAGGTGGAAAGAGGAGAGATGAAGCATTAATATTATAGCAATTCAGACTTTGCCGGGTCTGGCGATTTTTTTTTTCCTGCTGACAATTTTTTTAAAACAGTGGATTTGAGATGATGCTCACCCTGATATTATTGGGAAATCCATTGTGCGGCAGCATGTGTTTAAAAACAAGCTTGTTCAATCAGTAACTAGCGTGCCACCGGGATAAAGGAAATGAGATTGAGGACTGGCTGTCGTCACTGTTGCTGCTCTTTGTGCTGCTTTGGAGTTTTTTTGAGCTTAGTCCCTCCCTAAAGCGGGACAAATGCTTATGCAGCTGGCTCGTTTTCTGCCCCTTTGATGAATGTAAGAATAATAATAGTAATTCATTACATCCTTGCTGTTGTACGTGGGTGGTACGTTTGACCCTTTTAAAATTTTTCACTGGGATTCCAATTGATACTGGCAGGGCTGTCGGGGAAGCAAAGCTGTCTTGTTAATCTTTCCTAGAATGCCACGAGAGTTGCTCAGGGAGGCAAACTAAGATGTCTTCGTCATAAAAAAATCGAATTATAAATTGAAAGGATCCCCAAAAAAAATCTGAAAATGTATTCCTAAAAAATTACAGAAAGATCTGTGAAAGGGTGAAAATTACACGTCTAAAGGATTATGTGAGAGCCATAGCAGTTCAGCTACTACCTCAAATATCTTGTTTGTTCAAAATAGTCCTCCACTTACAAAGAATGTATTTGTATAGAACATATTGTAATAATACAACTCAAATAAAATACATTGTACAGATTTTGCCATAATCGCACATTTGATAGCTTCTGTTTGGGCTCTCAAGGCTCATACAGGAGCCACGTATGGGACAATACTCCCTAATATCCACAACTCCCCACTCGGCCTCGCTGATTCTCAGCATTAATACTCTTTGATTGACTGACAGTCGAATGCATCAAAGCAAAAATACGATCTCAATGCAAAATTCCACTCATGCATCCACTCATAGTCTTGCCCCTCGGATAATGTCTCAACTAGAAAACAAACCCGCATACTTCCCCAGCGATCCACACGAACGTAGAGAGTGATCCCCAGTGGCTTCTGGTTTCCCGGCTCCCCTGGGAAGGATGGTTTTCTCGTGCCCGAGGGCGTCTGGTCGTTGGTGGGACCAGAGAGGGGCATGGGAAAATAAGTGGTTTTGTTTATAGGCTCAGAGGCTCTGGTCAGCAGGGGTTACCTTTCAGCTGTGATTCAGAGAAAGCACACTTTTGGAAAGATAAACCAGCCAATTGCAATTTTATTTTCTGCACGTGAAATGTTAAGTGTTTATACCACGTAACACAAGTCCATTGCAATGTAAAAAAGAAAATGCTCCAAAATTTGGCAGTATGAGACAGGATGTTCCAACGTAAAAATAACGCATAACCATTGTAAAAATGTTAGATTGGCATGAGCCGATTTGTCAGTTTATATATTCTTTGCAATTTAGAGCCCCTTGTCAATCCACTGCTGGATGAAGGTCATGACAGTCATGGAAGTAATTTGAACATACTTTACCACTCTGATCCATGTGGGTTGATGAAGGGGTGGGTGGAGCCAGGATTGGTTGAGATCTTACTCGCTACTAATGTTAGCCATGGCTAGGAATTAAATGTAAGTGTCACAAGCGAGGCTGTAAACACACTTTGCTCTTGTGCCGTCTTTACACAGGGGGCCATCCAACAGATGCTCATCCGGCCTGACCCCTAGTGCTGCTGCGGAGCAGTGTGCCGACGATGACGACCGTGAGGTGAGAGCGAGTAACCGGGCAGCCTGCCGTTGAGCAGGCTCACCACTGGCCTCATCCAGACAGGCCTCATGGTTTGAATCAACAACTGCAATGAGATCTGGTCAATACGTGGCGTACACTGTGAAGGCGGTCGAATACAAATGTTATGCACTTTCAAAGTTACCGTGCTTAAAGTCCCATTTTATATGTTAAATAATTATTTTCATTATTTATAGACCTTAGTAAATCCACAGGTAGTCGAAGGCCTCCCCATGTTGCGTCTGTCAGGGGGTGTGGTATAACCATACTTCACCATGCTGGCCTATGTGGATTGGTTAAGGAGTGCCCAGAATGGTTTTGCATGTATCACTGATGTTAGCAGTGGCCAGGATTGAACTTAGGTCACTATGTTGATATTGCAGTGCGTTATCTACTGCACCCACCACTCACCAACCTGTATATTATATTATTTCTACCAATTATAAACAACAAGTTGCCATCAATCTTAAAATAACAAGCTGTTACTCTTACGCACATAGGATCTCGCGTAAAATATAAAAATAAGACACAAATTACACCTGGCAATGAACCACACTGAGCTAAAAGCAATTATCCAGGCTGAACTAATAGAAGAGCACACACACAAACACAATTATCTGAGAAGCCAAGTGCAAATATTCGTGTGTTTATTCTGGGTCTATTTTTGAATGCAAACAGGGCTGTTGTGTTTACTGTATTCACACATCACACAGGTACATTCCTCAAGAGACGCTAAGCGGGTGAGTGATGGAGAAAAAACGATGGCATAACCTCTGGTGTGTTCCAGAGCGTAGTGGCACTGTGGTCTGCTATTGGACTCTGATAATTGTCCACCGCATGGGTGGTCCGTGGAGGTGGATTAACAACAATTGCATGCTGTTGCATAAAGATTGACAGTCAATCTTCATGCAATGACTTACCTCTCTGGTGGGTTTTTTTTGGGTGTTAAGGTCACTTTTCTTAAACTCTGGCTGGGAATGCAAACAAGACCTATTGTAGACCGTGTATTTGCACAATATGTCGTGCATGTCCCAAGAAAACACACTCCAAAATGTAGTTATTCTGATCAGCTTAGCGCTGGCACTGCCGGAATGCGACGGTGTTCTTTGTGTCGCTCGGAAATCCCCACTTTGCTTGGTGCTACAGGCATCTGGTGAGGAGGGCAGTGGATACGACGACGGGGATGGAGAGAGCGAGGAAGAGAGCGAGGAAGACGTAGAGAGTGAGCACGATCATAGCGAGACCGGGGGATCGGGGAACGTGGAGACGGTGAGTTGCTTCTGCACCCAATATTTAGGATTGCCACCTGTCCTTGGTTTCCCAGGACAGTCTCACATCCTGGCACATTGAATGTCCTGATTGTTGGTTCTCCCCTCCTCTTCTGGAATTGTGATATATTCTTCCCATGATATGTCCTGGTTTTTTGTACCCCAGAGGAGGCAAACCACCAATCTTACCATATAAAATCTCCCCAGCCACACTCTTGCAAGACATTCACAATAAAGTCTTCCTGTGTGGGAGCACCACAGGAATTTATCACAAATAGCACACAGCCTATTTGCCCTCATTGACTGTGTGAAATGGCTTGTGCAGTAAGTAAGAAAACTCAATATCTGAGAATTTAGTGTAGTCTGTTATAAAGTGGCTATTTCCCATTTGCTCCTTTGTGAAATGCTATTTCCAGCTGGCAATTGGTTATGGCTTTTCTGTGGAGACCGTTTCAAGGGCAGTGGTTATTCTGCCCCCTTGAGGATCATTGTATTATTACAGTACCACAGAGTCATATTCTTAGGTTTTTCGGTAAAGTCACGTAGGTAAAAAATAAAAAATAATAGAAATAATATAAATAAAATAATAAATCACGAAGTTTCGGAGGCAACACAAGTCTCCGTCATCAGGTGGGACCGTCACAGCTAGATTTACTGTCTCAAGTGAGGCAAAATTCCAAGAGTCAAGCTCTTATTATTATTTATTTTTTACCTACGTGACTTTACCTAAAAACCTAACAGTATGAATCCTTGCAGTCACGAAAGCTTCAAATCTAGAATTACCACAGAGTCATCGGACAAAGACTTCCCAGTGTGAAAGTCTTAAAGTACTTTACAGTGTTTGGTTCCCAAGCATTACAAGTGATGTGATGTGCTTGTAACGTAAGATTTGTTTTTACTTCAATTGAAGTTTACCTGAAGCTTGTGCTAATCGCATCCATACTGCTGGGTTGACAAACGTGGGGAAATTAATAAACGTGCCCATTCTTTCAATTGCCATGCCAAGAAGTCGAACCATTGACCTATGAATTACAAGTCCAATGTGCTAACCATTGCATGACCAAAGCATTCACGTTATGAGAGTACACCGTACTATACCCATGCAGTAAATGCTATCTTGAGGTATTTTAGCTGATGTATGGCCTTGCATATTATAATTATCATTAATTTACCGCACAGGTGACGCGCCACCCCAACCAGCAGCCAATAAGACCTCCCCCCACCATGGCACCCGAGAGGAGAAGGCCCAGACCAGGCCACGACGCCCGGCTTCGGCCAGAGTCAGACTCTCGCTCCAAGGTGGAGGCCCATCCTCCTCTCAAGGAGGACACACAGCCAGCACGGGAGGAGGCAGCCATTGTGTCAAGCCAACCTGGAGAGGCGCTTTTGAGGAGGGAAAAGGGGGAGCATGGAGAAAGTGGCAGCCCTGGACTTAAAGGCCAGAAAGGTGAGCACGTGGAGCCCGAGCCATGATATGATGGCTGAAGCTGTAAACTGTCCTGGGTTTGGCCTGGACTCTACACTTTCAGAAAGGCTGCCACAGTGTCCTGAACAATTTGTAGAAAATGGGGATTTTGTCTTGGTTGGCTCAAGATTCGAGCAAAAGGGTGGAGCTACCTACGTAAGTTCGTGGAGTTGGGGGGGTATAAAGAGTAGGGGGGGGGGGGACAATATCAATGCGGACACCCTACTGTGTGGCGGTGCTAGTGATTGTGTGGACGTGGCAATATAAAGGTGGGTGGGGCTTGTGGAAGGAGGGACTTGTCAGCTTGCCCTGTGGCACGGTTGACCCTCCCGTAAATTTGGTAGCTTTAATTATGCCCATCAGACATCTTGTGTCTATCACTTAAGAATCCTTGTGTACACGATGAACTGCTTCCATTTTGTAGGCGAACCTGGTTCGGATGCCTCTGAAGGTGGAGCGACTCCTGGCTTGCGAGGCCCTCTTGGTCCAGCAGGTGGGTATTGGGTTTCCAATTCACTATTTTTTGTTCAAATAAGTGCCATTTATATATTTAATAATCGATGGAATGAATAACAATGTATATCTCCTTCAAAATAAGCGTAGCCTACTTAAGAACAGGATATAAATGTGTACATCCTTTTTATTTTGTTCTATTGTAAACATTTGCTGCATGTAACAGATTCTATGCAATTGCATGCAGTTACAGTCAAGACACTACTATAAACACAACATGTACACAATACCATTAGTCGCCTGAAATAAGTAAGTCAATAAATATTCCATTCTGGAAAATACAATGCTTTAATTAACTCGCACAAATAAAGTTTGATTCAAGTGGTTTCCCCGGCTTGTTTCTTTTTAACGGAGCACCCACTTATTGAGAAATCGATGTGGAGAGAAGCTGCGATGATATACTGCAAGTGGGACCTGGATGACCCTGACACTGGCTGGCCTCTTTCTCTCTTTCTTCATAGGTTCTGGCGGTGCCAAGGGTGAGCAGGGGGACACTGGTCTGAAGGGCGACGTGGGAGAGAAGGGCGAGATTGGCACTCAGGGTCCACCTGGGCCCAAAGGAGACACCGGCATCATGACGGGTGACGTCGTTCCTGGAACCAAGGGAGAAAAGGTACCCCCCCCCCACCCCCTACGAATATTACGGTGAAAATCCTCTCATTCCATGCTTCTATTTTTATTGACGTATCCTTTCATCTGCATGCATCGAGTCGTCCCATGATGAGGCGCTTATTTAAGGACTAGAAGAGTCTCGTATTCTTGGTTCTTTCGGTAAAGTTACGTAGAAGGGAACATTATAAAATAATACGAATGAAAAATAATAAGATACAATTCTCATGAAGAGTCTCCTTGAAATGGCGGCAAATGTATCCTATGATCTGCACTTATATGCGGGTAGAGACTCATTGGAAGTGGTATCCCAGAAGTAGCAATTGCAGCACATCCATTCGTTTTCTTAGTCAAGAAGAGTGACTGTATAAGTGGCGACAAACTCATCCTGCTCACAGTTATCCGCAGATTGCTACGCAGATATCAGGAGTAATTTTTGCAATAATAGGATCTCGCAATAATGCCCTGACATCATCGTTGAACAGAGGTGTTTTGCTGGAATCCATTTAAATTAATATATGTATTTATTCGTTATTGTTCCCACTACTAATATATTTTTGTTATATATATTTGCAGGGTGACATGGGAGATCCTGGTGTGAAGGTAATTTCTTAAGCTTCGTCATGTTATTGATCGGCAATCATACTGACGCATGGTGCAGGACGTTAAGTCATTGTCAAGGTGTTCCCCTGCGACATTCATATAAAAAAAATACAAGAACAATTATGTTTCCATTGTTTATAGTGCATGTTTTATAGGTGTTCAGTTTCATACAAAACTCTCATACAGTAATAGTTTAGTGTGCTCAATTGGTTAACTGCCATTGACACGCAATGTACATATAACATGTACTCTCAATACTGTAAATATACTTCTGGATGAAGACCTGCCCACGATTTGCGGGTTGTTTGGGTTATATGACCATACTTCACAATGCTGGTCAGTGTGTGGGTTGGTGAATGAAGGCTGAGAGCAAAGTACAGTCAACAATATAATTTTCTGCATTGCCTACCGCTGCCCACACGCAGGTGTCACGGGCTTCTGCGTAGCGTAGCAGCCTACGCATTGTGGTAGTTCATCCAAGCACTATCCAGACTAAAGCCTGCTTAGCTGAGATTGGGCACATTCTGGATAATTTGGTTAGAGTTGTTTGCATTTTTACAGCTCAACTTAATGCTCTATTCTTTGTCATTCGTCATATTGGCCTAATTTCCTGCGCTCGGTCCCATTTTTTCCTTTAACATTTTCAGGGTGGAGCTGGTTTTGGCTACCCTGGGCCAAAGGGGGGCAAGGGTGACGCTGGGCCCCAGGGCCCCATAGGTCAGCCTGGCCTCCCAGGTCCCGTGACGTCGGTGGTGCCGCGAGGGGACGGTTCCGTCGCCCAGCTGGTGGAGGGCCTCGCTGGGCCCCCGGGCCCGCCTGGCCCAGCTGGCCCATCTGGGGATGCTGGCGAACCCGTACGTGCCCATTGCACAGTCCCTGTCAAAGTCCTCGTCACAGTCCTCATTTCTCGTTTTACACGACTCTACATCATCCTCTGTTGTCACTTTTTTTGCTTGAAAGTTCATCGAGTTATATTCCCAAAAGTCAAAACAAAGATTCTTGATAAATTTGTTGTGAGATCTGTATTAGCCATTGTAATGATTTTGTTAGCAAATCAGAGATTGTTAATATACGTGTCATTCATACTTATGCCTGTTGTTTCTACAATCCAAGTTTGGAAAACATCTTATTTTGCTCTGATCTATAATTAGTGTCATAGAGGTCTGATTACCCTTTGAGAAGTGAGCATTAATTATATTTGTATTGTGTTCATTGCCAGGGTGACCCAGGAGAAGATGGTCTTCCTGTAAGTTATATAGCGCACATCATTATCATCACCATCCATGATCTTTCTACTGCTTAATGAAGGCTTCTCCAAGTTGTTTCCGTCTCTCATCCCTCTGCGGTGGCCTTTCACTTGGCCATGATTGCTCTTCTGGCTGCTATTCCATTACCTGCCTTAACCATCATCCCTTCAACCAATGTGTCCTTCCCAAGTTCACTAACTTTTCTTAACAGACAAATGTGATGTCTCATATTTGGACTCAATCCCTGATCGATGTGTTTCTCTTTCTGTCTCTTGGTGTGTTTCCCAGCTTGCAGCTGCCCATGCTACCTTGCACATTTAAGCTTTTGTAAAAAAAAATTGGCCACTCACCATGTTTCTGGTGCATAAGTTACAGTGGGTAATATATATGATTTAACATTTCTTCTTGAGGTACCTTGGTTTGTTGCTTTTCATTGTCAAGTTCAGTTTCCCACTCTTCTTTATTTCATGATGTTGATCGTGATCCACCCTGAATAATACAAGTATACATATGCTGTGTTGTTATTCATTCATGTTCCTCCAGGAAATATTTTCTTTTTCTTTCGCAAAGAATAGCATACACAAGAGTAAATAAATAACACAATAATAAATATTGCACAGAAATACACGTATGAACAGAATGCACCATGACGTCTGCTTGTTATAGACCCCTGTCACTGTTACGTGTTTGTTGTATTTTTAATATTCTTGTGCAGGGAGAGAAGGGTCCCCCTGGCTTTCCAGGAATTGCAGGAGATCCTGGTCTTAAAGGAGAAAAAGTGAGTCTATGTGTTAACAAAATCGATGCAAATTCCGTTTGAGTCTCTCTCTTTTTTTATTTTCCCAAAGTGTGCTTGCTTTAAAGGGATGGAAAAAAATGTATGTTGTGCAACTCGTGTCGTCATCACAGGGTGAAACTGGAGTTGGAAAAGCAGGCCTCCCTGGGCCACCTGGTCCTCCTGGGCCACCTGGCCCCACAGGACGACGCAGCAGGCTGGTAAGATCATCCTGTCCTGCCACAATGGCTTTCGCTTGACCTCCGAGTACATAATAACTTGCAGCCGATTTGCAGCCCATGTTAATCCACCGCTGGCCTAAAGTTCCCCTCTTCCCCATGCCATGTTGGTCAAGGGGATTGTTTGATCAAACTTTACCATAGTGGTCATTGCGAGTTGGCGGAGTTGGTTGGGCAGCATTAATTCTGGTATGAATCACCACTGATGCTAGCCTTGCCTGGGAGTCGAACTCAGGTCGCTGGGTTCATATTACAGCACGCTAACCACTGCTCCACCGTGCCACTTGATCTCCCATTGCAGCATACAAATACAATGTGTTATTACATGTAACGAGACTACATAGGCTCAAATGAATGAATTAGCTGTTTTAATGAATGGGATTGATTACCTCAAATGACTTGATTTTTAATGGAAACAATTTCCTCAACTAAATAACCGTAACCGGGGCCTTGAAGCGACTCAGGCGGAGCGAACTGAGCTTTGAAACATGGCTCTGCCAAGTGCAGCTACATAATTGAGGCATTTGTGGAATCAATTTGGTCGTGGCTGGAGTGCAAGCAGTGTGCAAAATGTGGTTGGAGGAGGTGAACCTAGAAATTGATTTGACCTCTGAAACTGCCCAAGTTAATTTGTGCTAATCACTGTTTAAATTTTCCTCAGAACCTTGATGATGCCGAGGGGTCAGGTGACTCAGATGACGATGACACAGACACAATCCGAGTGAGGCTTTACCACTACACTTTAAATTCTTGCAAAATTGTGTGTGGCAAATGATGAATATACCTTGTGGGGTCTGCTAACAATATCAGGTGTTGCTATGAAGTGGCCAAGGATATGCCTGTATAGTATTGGAATCATCAATTATACAGAACCGCAAAGCTAAAAATGTTACCCCTTGTATGTATGGTGTTTCTTCAGGCATTGCGGAGTCCTCCCACAAATGTTAAATACTCCTTAATGGAATTAGCCAAACGTCTCGGTGTAGAACCTTGCTTTTAAAAAGAGCCTAGTGAGAAAATAGTCTGTGAGGCTTCCCAGTGACATTCAACCTTGGGTCAATGTTGGGATGTGGTTGGAACCATTGGCCCAACGTTGACCCAACGTTCAACATTTACAGGGTTTCCTGGGGCATAATTTATCATCAGAAATAATCAATCTACTGCTGGATGAAGGCCACCCCATGCCATATCTATCCCTCGCCGTCCTGTAATGCAACAATCCACCCAACACCTACTCACAAGCTCTTCTTATTGTTCCATCTCCGTGGCAGACATCGTTGGGAAAATAGATTATCATTACTATAGTTCCAAATGTAATATTATAGTCGTGTGAATCACCAGGAAGTAACGCTTGATGCCATATGTCATGATGTGACCCCTTGTGGCAGGGTCCCCGCGGTCCTGCCGGCCTTCCCGGCCCTCCGGGCTCTCCTGGTATTCCTGGGCCCCCTGGACAGCCGGGAAACCTGAGTTCCCTCACCGCATTGGCTGGCGTACCAGGAGCCAAGGGGGCGCCGGTCTGTTGTCTCTAAAGCTTTGCATTTGATTGAGTAGAGTGTTTTTGCAATTATAATAATAGTCTTGTTTTAGTCCACTGGCCCCTTTGGGCCATTGGTGTATGACCATGTTTTTCAACCATATATCCTTGCAATGGTATTTCCATCTCTTTCCACCTCTGCATCTGTAAACTGAAAACTTCCATCCTGTCCAATCTGCATATGTTTTTTTTTAACCAAAACAATAACTCCATGTTTCTTATCAATGTGTGTTAATGAATCGAAAAAAGTATTTCTCATTCTTTGCAGCTAGATGATAGATTATTCCTTTTTAAAATTAAATGGTGTTTATGTAGACTAATATTAGATTTTTTTAAAGAAAATTGTATACGTGTTTTAGTTAATTAGTGTTTCAATGATTATTACAGTTTTCTTCTCAGCTTTGTGAGGCAATGCTTTTAATTTAGCAATTGCTATATTCATATACACTTCAGAGTTTTACTGGAATTGATGTAGGGCTCCGAGGGTTGCAATTTTTTCTGTCTTTCCTAGAACATCCTCTTTTTGAGGTAGTTGTCTTGGGAAATTTGTACATCTTTCCAGGACATTAATTGTACAGTTGTTTTGTTTCATTTTTGCAATAACACGCCATTCAATACGATGCAGTTATTTGTAGCTATTCCCTCTTACCATACTGTGAGATATTCTTTCAACTGTCTGTCGTTTTTTTTGAGCCTCAAAGGTGGCAACTCCAGAGACTGCGTGCACATTCATGTTCTGTATTGGATCGTTCTCAGGGACCTGTGGGCCCTGCTGGGAAGAATGGACTTCCGGGTCAACAAGGGGTCAAAGGAGACAAGGCAAGTTTTCATCTTTGTGTGGTTACAGCGGTGTGCACGGTTAATAATACCCATGACAATGATGATGTTAAATGGATGATGTTGAGATATTTCTGCTTTTGTATTTCCCTCTTCATAACAGGGAAATAGCGGAGAGGCAGGAAAGGCTGGGCCAGTTGGGCCAAAGGTATGAAATTCATGCATCATGACTAATTTCAAAATTAACATGTTAATGATCTCCTTGGGGTCAAATCGAGGCAGCCACTTGTGATTAAATTGAGTTTCTCAAGTGTGGTGAGTTGATGATCTCTGCCCGGTCACCAATTACTGCACAAAATCTATCACTTTAAATTTGATTTTGTACTTGAGTTGCTTTGAGAACGTTCTATATTTTTTATATCGGTGATACATCAAGAATTGCTGTCATTAGCAGAGCCACTGTGAAAGTGCTGCCTCCTATTGTGAGGATCAGAGATCACTTGAAGGGATCTCAGATGTAGCTCTGTGATATACACTTACTTGGGCTGTTCTCGAGCACAAGTGGTTGCATTGTTCTGCCAGAGATCCGAATGGAATCTTTATTTCATGACATGATGCCAAAAACACACTTGGGATAACACTATGGGAAAAGACTACAATAAAGTTATTGATGTCTTTCAATGTTGAATCTTTTATTGCTTATTTTTGTGAAGCATGCGGAGTATATAAAGGGCAAAAATTGTCTGGCACATGATTCTTATTATAAGAACGTCCATGTTGCCTTCAGTTAGCTGTATGGTGGATATACTCAAAGCAGATATTTAGCATACACTAACGTTTATTATATCTGAGCTTGTTGGCACATGTTCGTAATCCAGCACTTTGGAGGGAAGGGTTGATGGATCACGTAAAATGTGGTAGCCTTCTGGACCACGAGGTGGCCAAAATATGAAAATATGTCAGTCCAGCTCGTGGGTTTATTAACCCATCTGTGCGGACCAATGTGTTTCCCCTCCCCCCACCCCCACCCCCATCTGTTTGGCTTTTCTTTGAATACTATAGTTTCCTCCCAAATGCAAAACACTCATTAAGTATATTACCCAGACATCCAAATGCAGGGCCTAATTGGAACTCAATTAGGCTATATGTGTAATTAAACAATGTAGACAAGATAATTGTTTTTTTACCCTTCTATCTGGCAACAAAACTGACACCTTTTTACAAGGAGTCATGTTTGCATAGACCGCAATACCTGCAGTCATAATACAAACAAAAGACAGATGATGCCTTTTGGCGTCATCTGGTCCAACCCATGTGAGACTAGGCTCTAAGGAAAGCTGTCTCGGGTGTGGACCAATCAACTTCAAGGACAGTGCACATTATCAGAGTTATGTCTTTTGTTTGTATTATGACTGCAGGTATTGCGGTCTATGCAAACATGACTCCTTGTAAAAAGGTGTCAGTTTTGTTGCCAGATAGAAGGGTAAAAAACCAATTATCATATTTTTACTGGCAAATGAGGTTCCCATAATGTAGACAAGAGTTAAAATGAAAACAAAGCAACATCTTTAATAAAGCAATTGGAAACATGAAATGCATTTGAGAGGTATCCGGGTGACCCAGATGGCAGCACTAAACTGGCACTCCTGAGAACCTGGATTTTAATTCTAGCAGACGTAGTAAGTTTATGACCTCAGCCTGGTCACTGACTGAATGAAATCCTTAAAAATGTTTGTATTTTTTTCACTTTATCAAGATTGCATTCCAGCTTTAGCTATTCCAAAGATTTTTTGTGGGCATGTAACAGAAAAAATATTGTGCATTTAAATTTGTGCCCCTAGCTTGGATAGAGGCTCTTAACTAACTTCAGAAGTAGTTCTGTGACATCATCTTCCAGGGTTGATCTCTGATACAGGGTGATGGATGGTAAGCTGCAGCGTTCCAAGTGGAAATACATTTTATTGTCACGAAGGCACAGATAGCACGATACAACATAAATAATGAATAAAACATTGTTTTGAAAAGGCTTAATTTTGTATCACATAGTCTGTGTTACCACCACTTGCCATCACTGTAATCTCATGTGTTATCCCTCTCTTGTGCAGGGTGATGCTGGATCGCCAGGGTTGATGGGACCTCAGGGGGCCCGTGGGCCACTGGGGTTGCCTGGCCCAATTGGACCTCCGGGTCCACCAGGGCCTCCCGCACATACCAGAGTGAGCTTATTTGAGGTGAGCCTCGGAGTGTGTGTAAGGTCTTTGCTCTGTATGTACTTTCCGATTAAGAAACACACGGAGCGGATGCATTTAAAGATCAGAAAGTCAGTTTGTAGTAAAACTATTCACCTCATTCGGTTGGCTTCCTTCACGTTTGCCTTGCTCATTTGCCACACAGAAGTAGCTGACAATGCTAATTTTGAACATTTGAAAGAGTTCCTTAATATACGTATTTTTGTTAATAAATATCTCTGAATTGTCTTGTCATACTATGGAATCAATTTAGAATGAATAATGTCCCTGTGCACTTAAATAGTCTTACATTTATATTGCAGATATTAATTACGTTATTCACATCAGAATGCATTTCATCAACATCAGCCAGAATAACTCCACAGCTGGATGAAGGCCTCCCCAAGCCGTCACCATCACTCATGGTCCTTGCGATGTAACGATTGACCTAGCACCTGGAAAACCAGTTAATTTCATCACTACATCTTCGTGGCGAACGTTCCCCCATGTTGGCTGCCCGCCCCGTTGTTATTTTCGACAACTGGCCACACAATCCCCTCTAGCAACATGACCGACCCAAGCCCACGTATTTTATTTTCACAGTAAATATTATTTTGCTTGCCTAATGCATTGTATTTATCAAGCGTGACTCGTGTTTGTGTGTGGTTCCTAGGAGGAGGAAGGCTCTGGCGTTGGATCCAAATCCCGTGCAGGGGCTGCTGTGAGGGCCACACCCATGATCGCACGATAACTCCTGGCATAGGCATCACCATTACTGTACCACAAGTTCAGCCCAATATCCTGACAGAAACAAAGAGTCATGTCCACCTGCATGGAAACAAAAATCATATCACTAATTATACAGTACATGTGGATGTATAGGGTCTTAGTACAACCGCATCTCCAGACGATGCACAAAAATAGGGGAGATATTTATTTTATAGCAGTTTGTTTACAGGCACAGGCACAAAGGAAGTTCTTTGGTTTGGACTTGAACACTGGCAGGGAGTCAACAGCACGGACTGGGGGAGGGCATTGCAGACTATGGGGGCAGCACAGAAGTAATGATCGTCTTTCTACTGGGTGAAAGTTGACAGGGCACTTTGACAGAAAGCATGATTTGCTGAAGCAGAGAGCCTGTGGATAGGAAGAGAGTGAGATGAGAGGAGAAAGGTAGGTACGAGTCCCAAAGAGGATTTTAAAGTTGTGAGCACAATCTTGAAATTGCTCCATGATGGGATTGGGAGCCATTGGAAAAATTTGAAGTATTGCGGTGATGCGGTCCCCTCTTTATAGGTGCAGATGAGAAGTTTAGTAGCAGCAGCATTCTGTCTTAAATAACGGGACGTAGCTCAGGAAAAAAGGTGCTTTTAAATTATGTGGTTGCACTTATAAAAAAGAAAGTACCAATGGTTATTGTTGGATAAAATGTGGTTATTGTTATAAAATGCCTACTGGTTAATCGATGTGGAAGCATCACTCCAGCGCACTTCACTGCACTCTTGGACAGAAACAAACTTTCCTTGCTTTAGCTCATCAAAACTTTGCCTTTCAATCAGAGTGATGTAATTTTAGGCAGTCCGTCTGGCCCAGGAAGAGACACTCTCAGCATTGATCTGCGGACGAGTGTTGCGTTATCACGGCCATTGTAAAGCAGACCTGAGATATGCAGGGCCATTCCAATGTTTTAGTGGACCTCCTAAAACACTCCATGGGCTCAGACATTCCCACTTCATTCCCCCAACCACCTTTCTTCTCTCAATGGCCAGAAGGCAGCGATTTTAAATGAAAATAAATAACGTTTTCGAAATGTATCACTGGCGTGTGATATGTAACACTTGCAAAAAAAAAGATGGTTTTCTATATTATTTTAAATATAAATGTTTGTATATATTTTGCCGAAAAAAATATTTATATATAATCTGATTTTGAACTATGCAAGGGACGTCATTTATTAACTCCTCGTGCCATTTCCACTTTGACGCCATGATGTTCCCGACTGCATCCAAGGGCAGTCCGGCTAAAACCTGCATGCCCCTTGGGAAAGTGAGCCGCCAAGCTCGGTTTGTTCCCCAGGCAGCCGCGGCTCGCCAGGTTTGAAAACCAGACCAAGTCACTTCCCTGTGGTGTCAGGAACATGGCATGGGAGTGCGGTGGCATATAAGGAGTTAACAAAGGAATGAATAGAAAGCCAAATATGCTGACCTTGACTTGACGTAATGCAATGTTGATCTTTACTTATGACATTTATAAGCTGAGTTTCGGTGATGGTCACTCAATGACTTTCTGTCAACCTCGCTTTATAAAGAGGCTCATCACAGATCTTTATACATGAGTCAAACATTGAGGCTGTAAAAAACATTACACCTGAACTATTCCATCATCTCTGGAATTGACATTCTATAGTCCAATTGTGTTTATCGTTATCAATGCACTTCTAAATATTGCTCAGCTATCTTCTTGGTTCTTTCGGTAAAGTCACGTAGAAGGGAAGTAATAAAATAATAAAAATAAAACATAATAAAATAATTCTCACGACGTTTCGGCCACAACGCAAGCAGCCGTCCTCAGGTGAAGAACATGTCTGTCGATAAGACAGAGTCTAAATGACACGTCTTAGGCTTGGAGTGTCTATTTAAGCTGTGAGGGAGGAGGAAGAGAGCCTTGACAAAAGAATTTGCATTTGAAGAGGAATTCTTTGACTTTACCGAAAGAACCAAGAAGATGAATTCCTGCAGTCACGAAAGCTTTAAATCGAAAAATTGCTCAGCTAATTCAGTACCGTGACTAACTTTTTTCACAGGGAGAACCAGGGCTACCTGGTCCAGTGGGACCATCAGGACTTCCAGGTCTCAGAGTAAGTCTGTCAAATGACATTTGTGTGGCTCAGAAAACTGTACCTCTTGATGTTTCATGCATCATGCCACTGCTGCTTATAATTTGATTCATGACTCTACAATGAACTTATTTGGCATCTGCATGAAAACCCACTTTTTAGATTCAAACATGAAACATTTGGGAACATTTAAAAACACCATTTGCTCTGCAATCTACGCAGTGCGAGTAATGCTTCATCACGTCCTGCCACATTGTAAGCATGAACGTGCCGTCTGCCTGCCAGGGTGAAAAGGGAGAGAAGGGGGACCAAGGCCCTCGGGTGAGTACCATGGGTAAACATTCAAAGTGCAGCATGGGAGCAACCCATAACCCTGATGCTATCACATATTTACAACTTATATGGGATATTTTTTGCCACTTTTACCACTATGTGTGGTTAATGCAGAATTGATGCCTCGCCATAGGTGTCTTTTTTGGCGTTTAACAATCTTAATACCAGTATTATTTCCAGAAAGGAATTTTCTTCTTATTTCAATAATTTATTAAATTTTCATCGAGGCAGTTTGCACAGATATCTCGCTCGGGCATGCAATTGAACTCGCAGACTCCTACGGATGAGGTCATTGTTTAGATAAACAGCTAAACGTGAGCATCACCACTGTTTTACAAGTTGTTGGGCCCTTGTGACGGCTTCAATGTGTCTGCACTATAGAAGTTGTCATTATTATTAAATTACTCTGATGGATGTTTCTGGGGAGTGGGACCTGAGGCTGGGGGATGATGTGACGCCACAGATTTTAAGTTGGAATACATCTTTGTCTTCTGTGTGAAGGCGCTATAGCCCAGGGGATAGGACAGAAGGAAGCTGAGTTAAACATTTGAACAACAGGGGTTAAAGTCCCTGCCTAAGATTCAGATGTAGCCATCTGCTACAGCGTTTCTCCACTGCAGTGACACAATTTTATACTTTTTAACGCATGCTATGACAATTTTTTTAGTAAAACATGCGTGTTTAGCTTTTATGGAGAGTTTATTGTTTGCCCCCTCCCCCCTACACCCTCCGTGTGTTAAGTTCAGGGGCAATAACCCCCCCTCACCCCTCCCCCAATGGCGCTGCTCATGCGTGTGAATACGTATGAGCATTTAAGACAATCTTCCAACAGGGAGTCCCCGGGTTGGCGGGACCAATAGGGCCTGCTGGAGAGGAAGGCAATCCTGGGCTTCCTGGTCCCCAGGTAAGGGTGAGAGACATCTCGCAGAGGCCTCATTGTACTCTTTACATCGCTCGAGCAGGAATAAAACAATAACAACACTCAATATCAGCAATATTAAATGTACACGTTGCTGAATATAATTATGTGTATTTTTTTTGCAGGGCCCTATCGGTGAAAAGGGCAACCAAGGGGAACAGGTAACAAAGAAGCCACGCTTTGGATTATCACTATCACTAATTCTGGCATTTCTAAAATATCCTTGTTGTGGTGTACCACTCAACATAATGAAAACACATGAGCAAAATGGCAAAGGGAAATTCACCATGAGCATGTAATGGTAGTGATTCGATTTGCGCTAGGAGTTATGCTTTAATTTCTCGAGAAATAAGTGCTGATACAGCAGCACGGGGCTTAAGCGGGTTACAAGAATGAGGGCGACTGCACTCAGCATCTTTGCTCTCACGGCGAACCTGCGCTGCAACAACTGCACCCACAGTGACACATGACGAGTTCTCTGATGTGTTTTCGGGTGGTACTGTGCGCTGTTTGAATTGGGAAGCTCGCTCTCTGCCTGGATTAATAAGGGAGATGTCTGTTGATTGATCGTGGTAGAAGGTGAGTTTCTCAGTGCAGTTACTCAAGGAGCTCCCGGAAAGCGGAGAAAAATGTCAGGCATTTTACTGAGCAACACCAAGGTGCCTTCCAAAATACATCAGAGATATACGTCACAACCAATGCAGTAGAATGACGTGGCTGTTTATGCTACACAGGTTGGCATGGCATACACTGACGTTAATTTTAAATGTGCTTGGTACGGATTTTCAATAAGGTGGATGTTAACTGCTTGCTCGGGAGTATCAGCTATTAGGCCTACATTGATTCACACCCTTGTCATTTGACAATTTGTCATGATTTGGGGTTTTCATTCGGTATTGCGGTGCGTTGTAGAACTGGCCAACTCTGTCACAGAAATAAGGATGCACAGGTCAATGTGGTTTGGCCACGTGCACCATATAAATTGTGACCGGCTGCGTAGAATGTACATGAAGTGGGTATCTAGAGGCCTTAGATCTTATGTGGAGTGGCTGTCTAGATCGCACCTAGAGTTGGTGCCATCTGGAAAGAACATGCATCGAGGGAAAATCATGAACGGCTTGGAATCAAATGACCAAACATCTTTGGAAGTTACGTGTACCACAGGAAGAGGCGAGATCGATGATGACTGGCCAGGAGAAATTGTAACATTTCTGTTCAACACAATTGACCAACAAGGCTGACTGTGACTGGCTGTAATTTATCGCCTCCAGTAGCTGCAAGGGTCATGTGAATACAGTAAATGAAATGCAACATCATTGGAACCTCATTTGCCAGTAAAAAATATGATAATTGGTTTTTTACCCTTTTATCTGGCAACAAAACTGACACCTTTTTTTACGAGGAGTCATGTTTGCATAGACCACTACCTGCAGTCATAATGCAAAAAAAAGTGCGCCTTTTGGCATCATCTGGTCCAACACCATGTGAGACTAGGCTCTAAGGAAAGCTGTCTCGGGTGTGGACCAATCACTTCAAGGACAGTGCATACATTATCAGAGTAATGTTTTTTGCTTGCATTATGACTGCAGGTATTGTGGTCTATGCAAACATGACTCCTCGTAAAAAGGTGTCAGTTTTGTTGCCAGATAAAAGGGTAAAAAACTAATTATCGAAATGCAACATGTTTACGAATCAAAAATCATCTGTTCTCGCACCCAAGACTCGATGCGTGTATCACAAGCGTGAGAGCTTATTTTATTTCATGAATTAACACGTTGTTATGCACCCATCGGGCTATGGTGAAATTCCCTGTGCTGTGCCATCATCCTCGTGTCACTCCAGGGTGAAACAGGTCGTGATGGTGAGAGTATCATGGGGCCACGAGGTCTTCCTGGCCTCCCTGGGCCTCCAGGCCCAGCCCTACTCGAGGTACAACTGGAGAAAAGTGCCCATGATGTGTGCAGACTGAAAAAGTGTAGAAGTAGTTTTTTGTATTTATTCCGTTCTTTTATTTTTAATTCATTGACGTCTGGCCGCGGTAAGAAAGCAGATGTTTTATTACTCCAATCTCAAATGCATGTAATGAAAAACGAGAGCAGATTGCGGAAAAACGGACAACTGCCAGAGGGCAAGGGCTTAAGTGCAGGCAGCCACCACTTCCGCACAACTTTGTACAGAATTAAATATTTACGCGTCTTAAAGGTAGCTTTATTTCACCACAACAAAACTTAAACGGAATCATTGATTGATGCTTTTTTACCTCACGGATAACAGATACGTAACTAGAAACCCTATTGGCATGTAAACACAGTTACATTTATCTAAATTTGGGCTACGTTCAGGGTCACGCAGTCCTCATGGCACCTTATGGCACCTGGGCCTTGAGAATTCCCTGCTGCTGAGACTTTATTTTGTGAACGGTGTTGAATACCTGCTGATTATACATTCCAGAATTTTGTGAAAGGAATGAGGCTGTGAGTGTCATTTCGTTGCAGGGGCTGAATGACTTTGAGGGTCTTCTGGGAAATCTGAGAGGCCCATCAGGCCTGCCGGTACGTTACAATACATAGCTTACACGTATGTGTTTGTGCAGATCCTGCAAAAAGTTGTTAAAATTAAGAAATTAGCATTTTATTAAACCGCATCATCGCAATGCAAGCCTCATGGTTGTGGAAACGTTTTGTTGAGTAGAACTGGGTTCATGAGATATTTTGTAGAATGTGCAAGATATCTCAGTATTTGATTAAGTTAGAGTAAAGTCTGCTCACGTGTTGTGATACATTAGATTCATTGGTGATTACTCACATTAAATGTCACCGATTTAATTTTTAGGGACCAGAGGGCCTGCCTGGACAAGCTGGTTTTCCTGTGAGTATTAATGATCAAAGACCAAAATTTGATCAAGTTTGAGATTATTTTGATATGACCTTGACCGTAATTATTCTGCTTAAGTTATTGTTATACATATTTATATATATATAAATAAACACATTTCATTGCATAGATTGCTTAAGTATTTTTCACTGAAAAACTGTCAATCATTTGGTGGCTCACATGTTTTGTCTGTAGGGCCCTAGGGGACCCAAGGGAGAGTCTGGGCTGGACGGCTCAGCAGGTGCCATCGGCATGAAGGTGAGAGGGCTTCAGCAACGTATAATGATAACTCAGTGGTGGACTGAATTGCGTTACTGTATTACCATCAATATTCTCATTTGCATTAGTCTCAACAACAACAATGTTTCTAAATTATTTGTAATCATTATTTACAATATCCGTTCACGTGAGAATTATTTAAATTTCTGAAGTGAATGTTTGTGAGCTTGAAGTAAACTACCATTAAAATATGTAAATACTTAAATGTAATAATCAGAGCGATAATGTGTTTTGTATATCAATGGTTTCCTCAGTTTTTCCTCTTCCCGTCTTTATTTATCTCTGCTTCATCTCTCTCTCTCTTTCCTCGTGAATGTTCAGGGTGAAAAAGGAGATCCTGGTGGTTTGATCGGCCCAGATGGGTCTCTGCTTCCTGAAATGGCCGGCCTTCCTGGACACAGAGGGGAGAAGGTGTGCATCTGTGCTCGACTACACGGCTTGCAGTTCTCCACTTTAAAGATTCAACTTAGATGTTTTGAAATAGCACGTATTGCGATTCACTTTGACTGAAAACACGTTTTTGTTCTGATACTGCAATGGTAAGTGGTGGCAAAGCACAAACAACATCAATAAGACTGCCCAAAACTATATTAGGTGACATTGGGGCAGTGGTCATTCTTCATAAGTGGAAATATTGTATCATAAACCCAATTTGGACTTCAGTTCATAACTCGTTAATTATTTTTTTTATTGGGTGTGGCCATGCAATTTTCTATTGTATACGTCATCACGTACTCAATTTGAATATTCATTAATTGTTGACAAAAGAAGGAATCATAATCGTGCTTTACAATTAATCTTAATTTCTTCCCTTTTTTGTTTGTTTTGTTTTGTTTCCATCAAGGGTGACCCTGGCCCTGTGGGCCCAGAAGGCTTGCTGGTAAATCCGGAAATTGACCTTTGCACCACACCTCACTGCACCGACGCACATCATGTCTGGGATGTTGCATTGCAGTTTTGATGACTGAGTTTTCCTTTTTGTTGTCGCATTTTTCAGGGTCCTGTTGGCCCCAACGGCACGAAGGGAGAGATAGGCTTACCTGGCCGGCCGGTAAGGCTACTGATTACCTGTTTTGAGGGTGGACCATATATGGGCTTTAAATTAATGTTGTCTTAGCTGTTGCCTTCCCAAGAATTTGATGGAAATGGACGTGAGGTTGGTGTGGTAGTGACCTCGATGTTTATTTTCTGGACTGCATTGAACTATATATAAAGATTATCTTTATGCTGTAGGCAATATTCAATGCTTTATGGACCTTTTATTCTGAATAAATCCCGATCGATAAGGTAAATAACGAGATGATAATAAGGCAGAGACACCCATCAATCTATTTGGTTTTGCTTAAAGATGCATAAACTTCATAAATGACGTTTGACTTTTTTGCCAAGACAATGTGTGCACATGGATAGCATCCATTCAGGAGAGGTTAAATTGCACGTAGATTGGTATTCACAGGAGTGCATGTTTAACAAAAAACTGTCTTGTTGTACCAGGGCCGACCCGGGATGAATGGCTACAAGGGTGAAAAGGGTGAACCAGCAGACTTTGGGTTTGGGGTGAGTTTCATTGTTTTGTGTCGAAACAATATTTATTTATTCTTCAAAAAAATACACTGACCTCAATCGAATTAGCCCAGGTTGGCCGTGACCTCAGTCTAATGGGCCAGCTGCAAGAGATCCATTCTCTGCAGTGCAGTAGGGTTTTAAAACACGTCTCTTATGTTTTTGGGAGAAAAAAATACATGTTAAGTAAAAATAAAAACACAGTTTTCTTCATCTGAAAAGAAGGGGTAATTTGGTGGAAACCAAAGGAGAGAAATTGGTCAATGAGTTAAGATCCTCATCCTCTCCAGAACAGAGAAAATAACACCAATGATAAAAATACCTTAATTATTTGTGTTGGATCGCTGACATGGCAACATTTAAATTGTTTTTACTGTAAGAATACATTATGACAACAGACTATTTCAATGGGAATTATGGTAGATGAATTGCTTTATATCATTAAATATCAATCACATATGTATACCATTGCATTATAGCATTAATCTCCACGCTCGCTTTTGTATTATGGTGTCATTGACCTTATGCGCCCACCACACGCCTGTGTCTTTATTCCCCATGATTGCCAATGCAATGTGACGTGCGATTGTTAACTTTCAAATGTTTCAGTCTGGCCCAGGCCCCGCCGGCCCCCCGGGTCCTCCCGGCCCTCCTGGCTCTCCTGGCATCACCGTGGTGAGTCTGCAACAGATCTTCTTGGTTCTTTCGGTAAAGTCACGTAGAAGGGAAGTAATAAAATAATAAAAATAAAACATAATAAAACAATTCTCACGACGTTTCGGCCACAACGCAAGCAGCCGTGAGGACGGCTGCAGCAGCCGTGAGGACGGCTGCTTGCGTTGTGGCCGAAACGTCGTGAGAATTGTTTTATTATGTTTTATTTTTATTATTTTATTACTTCCCTTCTACGTGACTTTACCGAAAGAACCAAGAAGATGAATCCCTGCAGTCACGAAAGCTTTAAATCGAAATCTGCAACAGATGTTGAATGCGATTCTGTCCCCAACCCGCCAAGACCCTAAAATTACAATCCTCAAGCTTTTCCGTTTACGAAAGGCAACACTGTGTAAGTGCTGTCACGCCCAAGAGACAAGATCATTCGTCTTTAGTGAGCGGTATTAATGAAAAGTCTATTTTAAGGAAAAGTAATCGCACATTAAGATGTCATTGTGATACCATAAAACAGGCATCAAAGTAGCAAAATTAGATGGCCGATGAGCGTGGATTTGTAAAATGTGGCTCAGTGTCTCGGCGTTGATTTATTTGCGCTGACTCTCATTACAGGTGGAACGTGGGCTGTCTGCATCACCACAACAGCACGGTAATATTATGTTTTTCTTATTGCGATGAAGCTGTGTAAAATAAACATTTTTTTATTTTATGTTTCTTGAAATCAGACTGTATATAAGTTGTGCAACGCTGTGTATTTAATGAACGTTTATACACAAACACATACGGCAGCAAAACTTTTTGAGAAGTATTTATATATGTGTGTGTGTATATAGCGACACAACAAGCCAATAGGACTGGGATACTAAACTATTTTATATATCACTGCATACAGATGATGACTTCTAAATATTTCCAACATAGTGAAATGTTTTAACATCCAAAAAGATGTCGATCACCTCTTATATGCATATAATTCTGTATGTATGTGTGTGCATGTGGGGAGTAGTAGTGCAACGGTTAGGGCGTTGTGCTATGAACCCGGCGACCCGAGTTTTAATCCTGCTCACGTCCACCACCAGTGACGATGATCTGAATCGGTTCTGGGCCTCCCCTAGGTCGACTCAGCCTAAAATGAGTACCGAGTGCGATGAGTAAACATCGTCAATGAGGAGACAAAGGAGGCCGGGCGTGGTGCTGGCTACTCACCCCCTCGTGTGCCCTGCCGGTCTTCATAGGTGCTGCTTGCTTAAAGCACTTGCTGAAACAGTCTGTCAAGGCTACATGGGGATTATGTCTTTGTTTATGTATGATATATGTGTGATAGGTCCCAGGGGGGATAGAGGCTTTCCAGGTTTGCCAGGAACCCCAGGGACCAAGGGAGAGAAGGGAACAGCTGGATTACCTGGTCCACCAGGTGAGTCCTCCAAAAAGCTATGATACTCAATGTTCCTTCTGCCTGGCTGTGTTTGAGATTGTGGTTATCAAGTGTTGTTGTTCTTGTTGTTTTTAACTATACCTACAGTACTCTGATTTGTGGAATTCTACATGTCAGTCATGCCCTGCAATATATCCAATTGGCTGACTAAATAAGGGTGCTATGGTGGCGAGATGTTAACTACCTCGCCTGGTATACAGGAGGTCGGTTGTGGGTTCATCTTGATCTCGACTGATGCCTGTAGTTTTTCCCACGGTCGTGTGGATTTTTCTCCTGGTCCTCCAGTTTTTTTCCTTCCACATTTAGAATCAACGTGTTTGGCTGCTATAAATTTCCACACGAAACGCCACTTTGTTAAGTTACCATTCGTGGCCAGGTCACTTTTGAAAAAAGAGCTAAATAGCTCAGTGGACCTTAACTGGTAAAATAAACAAATATAATTTTATTTTCTCATTATCTTTTCTTTTTCTTATCCGTTTCTTCTGCTTCCACATTCTATTACTCCTCCTCTGCCTCTTCTTGCTGGGAGCTTCTTCAGGAACTGAAAATTCCTGAAGAAGTCACCTGCATTGTGCTGAATAACACGCGATACAGCTTGAAAACTAATTTAAGTGCTTAACATTACAGCCATGGAAACCTATGTGGTAGCCTATCTCAGTTTTGTGCCACATGTGAAATTTATTTCAGTTTAAAGAAGATGGAACTCAAACTCGTCTTGGACACAGATAGTTTGTGTGTGTATCCACAACATAATTGTTGTCTTAGCACGGTTGGCTACGTACGGCGCAAAAGAAGTTCAACATAGATACATAAGACCTATTTTTTTGTTTTGCATTTCCTTTTGCAAATGGTGCCCTGTTGATTCATTACATGCAAGAAATATGTAAAATGACCAGCAGATGATAACACAAACCAATTTCATATCTTTAATTGCTCCACAAGCAAGTATGAACAAACTGACAGGTTTGCAAAATCAATTCCATTTGCTAAAAAAGTTAATGTTTTAATTCCCATTTAGCGTATGCATCAGACATGGTCTCGCTGTCCCCAAATTATTGCCCCCCGCACCTGCAGATACAAATGTTATATTCTTGTTTATTTTATCTCGATCGAGCCATTGTGGTCATTATTGACTTACTCTTCATATGGTGTTAATGATTTATTTGAAAAGAGTAATAATAGATTAACCTCTCAATCTTTTCTTCACAGGCCCACCATCGAATTCCAACTTCGTAGATGTATTTGGGAATTATGCTTCAAGGGTAAGGCTGTGTATATTTGTGTCCTTCCTGATCAAACCATTGTGAAGTGGAGTAAAAAAAACAAAAGATTGAAAATACAGCTAATCAATATTGTACAACTCATTTGAATGTGATGAATTGAAGAGAGAGCATTATAAATGGAACCTTTTGAATTTTAAATAATTTTAGTAAATATCAAAAGCATTTAGAAGCATACAACCACTTATTAATATATATGGTTTCTGTATTTTCTCAAGAAACTATATTGATGTACCCGTTGGTCTGACAAATCCTGCAATGTGGTCATGAATGTATATCCCATCAGGGCACCAAGGGTGACATTGGGCCTAAGGGAGAGAAAGGAGAGCCTGGTGGAGGTGGCTTCGGATTGTCGCCACCAGGACCCGTGGGACCGCCCGGCCTGCCTGGGAGATCCGGCCCTCCGGTACGGATGTGGCCTCGTGACTTGCAAGTCTCACTCAGTCATCTGCCATCAAAAAACCTAAACCTTTCACGAGACGGTTCTCTATGCAATGCAGAATACACTACCACCACTCGTAGCTGTTTATGCTGGGGCAAGTGCGTTCATTATCGGTAACTACAGTATTAAGTATTTATGCTATTATTGTCAAGGAATATTTTTTAAATAGGGGTTTTACATGTTTACGTCACATATTATGTTTTTAGTTAATTTGGCATACAGTGCAGTACTTATTTCACTTGTGATGTGTCTATTTTAGGGTGCCATGTACCTAACCCCATTATTTAGGTATGGCTGAAGTACTGAACATCGCGGTTTTGGCTTTCGTGGGACTTTCCAAGAGCGTAACCCCCGCGATATTCAAGGGTCTCCTCTATTACACACTTAGCACACTTTTACAATTCAAACCAACTCCGCTGTGAACAATAAATACTTCCAATTAACATTCACCTTAGTAGCAGAAACTAAAGTCAGCAACCGTGACCAAATACATCAATATCAGCCGGGTCTGCATTGTGAAAGAACCCAGTGGAAATTGTTTTTGACTCTGTGCTCGTAGCGCAGGGCATTTTATTACATGCGGTTGTGAACAACTCGTGCAGTTGTAAAGTCAGGCTTGCGTGGCTGTAAAGGCAACGTGCAGTCATAAAGCTGCGATGTTGTGCAGTAAGTTAGTGGACAGATGCCCACTTTTCCTCATTGGTTCGTAAAACACCTATTCTGTAAATGCAGCCTTGAGGGCAAAAAAATTGACGTGCGGTGTTCTGTGGGAATAAAGAATTAAACTGTTAACAGTTTGTTAAAGTTTGTAAATCAGCCAGTGGCTTCTGGGTCAGTATCAGCATAATCACAAGTGAGGCAATGTCGAGAGGCAATGCAGGTGTAGCGGTCATATGGGCATAATGAAAATTGTTTATGTTATATTGAATTGTTTTCATCACCTGCCATGGTGGCAAGATATTAACTCCCTCACCTGGTATGCAGGACGTCGTGGGTTCAATCCTGACCCTGATACTTATATATTTGGAGTTTGCATGTTCTCCCCGTGGTCGGGTGGATTTTTCTCCGGGTCCTCGGGTTTTTCGCTCCACATTAAGAATCAACGTGCTTTTAGAGTATTTGGCTGTTGTACATTTCCACGTGATAAGCCACTTCGTTGAGCTATCATTTGAGTGGATCGTGAGGGTTATTTGACTGCGGTACTTCACGTTGGTCAATGCGGATTAGTGAAGACAAGAAGCGTAAGACCTGGAAAACATTGAAGTACAGTACGACAAATGGATATTCCTACACTGTCCTCAATTGCCCCCATGTAGGCTCGCAAGCCTTATGACCCCTTGTTTGTGCAGTGGTCACCCATCCAAGCACTATGCAGGATTATACCTGCTTAGCTTTCAAGTTGTGATGAGATCAGGTACATAATAAACTCAAAACTATTTTTAATTTTACCAGGTAAAGCCCACTGAGCTATATAGCTATTTTTTCAGATGCGACTTGGCTACTCAGGTGTTGGGAAGGCCCCCGTCTACCATTGGATTGTCAATAGAGCCATGAATGTACGCGAGTCGTAATTCCACCATCTCACAATATCCCTGACTTCAACACCCGGACGCCCGTTGTCCCCCCCCCCCCCCACCTTGTATGGTCAAGTGTTCTCAAGAGTGGCCACGTTTCTGGGTCTCGCCGCTCGACCTAACTATAAAACGCAGCAGGGGGAGCCAGACCACAAACTCTAATACAATTTTGATAGGGGGCCATTGGAAAGAAATATATATAAAAATATCCTGCCAATGCGGATACAAAGAGTGAAGACAATTCTTTGGGATACTAAAAGCATCCTTGTTTTCTTTTTCACTTAGCATTGAAAATAAGGTCAATGCTAAATTTTCATTGTTTTTATTTGTTGAGTTCATATGCTGTTCATATAAATGTATAATTACACTAAACAGTCAACAATAAATGAACAAAAATATTTGTTGCAATGAAAGTATTATTTAAATTCACATTAAGGTAATACAAATCCATCATTACTATGGTGTGTTATTCGCGTTTGTGCTGTATATCTCTGCAGCGTGTTTTTTGTTGTTGGGTTGTACCGTGTGTTCAACATCGCTCTCCACATCTGGGAAACTTCCAGCTGCTCATCATGACGTTGTATAACACTACGTCAGTTCACCAATGCTGGGTGATTACCACTCTTTTTTTCTTTTTAGGGACCCAAAGGAGATGCCATTTCTGGCCCAAGAGGGCACCCTGGACCCCCGGGCCCGCCCGGGCCCTCTGGTTTTGGCTTTGAGGGCCAACCAGGCCCAGCTGGGCCCCCTGGGCAGAAAGGACCGCCGGGGCCTCCTGGAACAACTTTTGTTGGTCAGTGTCCTTGCTCGCGACGAGACCTGGAAGAGGCTGTATTAGGATTCTAAAACACGAGACCAAACTACTTTGTGAATTGCCAGTCAATAAACGATAAAGTAAACATTCACATTTGACATGCACAAAGGCTGTACATGCACAAAAGGAGCTGTTAAAATCTCGCGTGAATTGTGGCAAAGAGGATTTTTTTTTATATATTTCTATGAAAAAAATGTAATGTCCACAAGAGGCATAAGGTTATTTTATTGGGTAAAATGTATATTTTTGAAGTGTACCTTTTATTTTTGCAGTTGACATTCATTCTGAATCAATTTTAAACCAGTTTACAGCATGAACTTGTCATTTTCAGTCATTGCAATTATTTGTTGTTAATTTGTCGTCATTCCAGAACATCACAGATCAGTTGTCGCAGGGCCTCCTGGACCTCCCGGTCCCCCAGGCACAGCCAGCTCTGCTAAAGGGGTACGTGCACAAACATAACTGCTTACATTTGTCTTCTTTTGTTCTTGACTGGTGTAACAAAAACGCATTCGTCTTAAGATAAAGATTTGCTTTTATAGGCGTGCATGAATGCTGCAGAAACTCAAAGCACCTTACACCACGTCTCATCTCAACCCATTCTGATGGCCTGCTGTAGTCTAGCGAAGGGGAGCGCCGCAGAGGGCAGTTGTGCGGCACAAGATTGAGAACAACAGCACCAACTACAAGTGGGCAGCTCGCAAAGTTCCGTCGACTGACCTTGCCTCACTGTGCTCCACAGTGCAGAAACGTTGGGTGGTCCAGTCCGTGTTAATGCACGCTCGTACGGTTTGTGATGCTCGTGTGTTTTCTTTCACGTCTGTTTCTTCTGAAGGCAACCGTTGTGCAAAACTTTGAGGCGATGGTGCGATGGTCACGGGCCGCCCCCGAGGGCTCGTTTGTGTACGTCGTGGAGCGTGGCGAGGCGTACGTGCGCGTGCGCGACGGATGCAGGCAGCTCTACGTGAGTGCAGCAGCCGCCCGGCCCGTCATGCAGCAAAATGCACCGCCAAGCTCACTCCCAACTTTTCTTTCTTTCTTTCTTATGTTGGTTTTTTTGTCTCGTTGCTTTGGAACAAAACAAAATTGGTTTCACAACAAATAAGCAATGCTCTTTGGAGAGGTATGTACCTTTGTGATATGATGCATCTTCTTCTTGAGATCCTCTTCACTCATTTCTGTCCCTGGCTCATCTCCACATTCACTCCACAGCCCTCAATATCCTTAACTCATTACTCGGAACCACCTTTCGCTAGGCCTGCCTCTTGGTCTCTGCCTTGATGCTTCAAAGTTCATCACGACTATTCCAATTTGGTTTTCCTTCTATCTTAAAATATTGTCCTAGCAATCTTAGTTGAATTTCTTTCAGGTTGTCCGAGATGGGTTACCACCCTTGTCTTCTCCGTCATCTCGCCATTTCTGACCTGATGCAGCCTCATGATCCCTGAGATCCATCTCGTCGTCTTCATTGCTGTAGTAGTTGACCTTCCACCACACCTCCGATTAGCAGGATTGACTACGTATGGTGTGAAAGAAGTTCAACATAACAAAATTCAACATACACAGCACACAACAAGCACTCCTTTCTGTATTGTCATATGATGCCTGTAGCTCAATTTGAACATCCTTTTTTTATTGTGTTAATGAATGTCCCTGTATTTATTACAGCTTGGAGAAGTGCTGCCCATTCCCAGAGAAGACGAAGTTGTTGTAAGTTACAGTTGATTTATTTTAACGCGTTGCTACTGTATTGTTTCCATCGAATACACAACACAATCACTCTCTGAAGCACAGTGCGATTACCACAGTTAAAAACATGGTCACAACATTTCATAGTCTTTTGCTACAACTGCTGCTGCTGCTGCTGCTGTCACTGCTATCACTTCACAGGCCTCGTCCCATGTGCTCAACATTATAAACCCGCTGCCCAGCTTCCCGGTGGTGGACCGCATCCCGACAAGTGGGCACGCCAGCTACCACCACCACCACAACAACAACAATGGCAACAATAACCTGGGCAGCAACCATCTGTCGCCATCTCACGTGGGGCATAACTCGGGAGGGATCGCGTACCCCAGCGGGGACCTGGGCCCACCGTCGCCCGCCGTCGGGTACCCGCAGGCGGGCAACGTCGGCCTGACATCGGCCGGGATCGCCTACCATGAGATCAACGCTGGTCACTCGTCTGCTGGCACCAGCCACCACGGGGTGAGCATCAGCCGGAGTGAGCCCAGACAGTGACTCGCGTGCAGAAGAAGCCCGTGTGGTAGCATCTGTCACAGTGAGATGAGCTGAGCTTGGTGGTGGCATGGTGGAGCAGTGGAGTGGTAGTGTGGTGCAGTGGTTGCGTGGTGCAGTGGTGGAGTGGTAACATGGTGGCGTGGTGGAGTGGTAGCATGGTGGAGTGGTGGAGTGGTAGCATGCTGGTGTGGTGGAGTGGTTGTGTGGTGGAGTGACTTTACTGTGGTAGTGCACTCCTGTAATCCAGTGCTTTGGAGGCAGCGTTTCTTGTGTGCCTCAAATTTTTGAAAATCCAAAACTCACGGTGGTCACGAGATGGCAGTACAGCAAATGGTTGATGAACCGATTTGTGCGGACATTGAGTGTTATCCCCTTTGTATGCACGATTTTCCTCCTGAATACTCTTTCACCTGGCTATAAATAAATAAAATATTAAACCATCTCAATACATAACTCTCACACAAGATTATTGATAAATACATATAACACAGGGTAAAGGTGCAGCCCTTGTAACTTATTTCTCGTGCCACTGCTGGTGGAAGGGCCTCCACTCGAGGGAGCTCTAGAGAGGCCTGCTAGATTATATCTGATCTACTCTTCCATGCTGAGCAGACATCGTGGAAAAGGTGGAAGTCCCCACACTTTATCCCTCCACATGTGACCTGTCGATTGACTAAATGTGGTGCACCAATATTTACATTTGGCTGGATGGTGGCAGCGGTGGGAGTTTAAAGGAACTTGCCCCATTGTTTCACCTGACCGCGCCAGGAGATAGAATCGAACCGGTCGCCTCTGCATTGCAAGTCCAGTGTGCTAACTGTTACACCATGGAAGTGTATATAGATTGAATGTTTTCTTTCGTCGCATGAGGGAGGTACAGTCTCTCTAGAATACTTGCCCATGTATATGAACTCTGAAACGGGGAGGTGGAACAGTCAGACGACTGTTACATGGAGCAGCTGCCCTGCCTGCCCCCATTCATCATCTCCGTCTCGATGCTGCCTTCCCTGTCACCTTCATCCTTTCAGCAGCGGTGCTGCCCCTCTCTGCACGTGTATGCTAGGAGCACCGCAGGGGGGTCCCAGGACAATAAAGAGCTTAATTTTTTAAAATATATATTGTTACGTCTCCAGGGGGAAAATGAATTTGTTTGGGTTTATTATTTATTTACCAGTTTATTTATTTTGTGATAAATGGAGATAATATTTACACTGCTTGTTGGTCCCGTTTTTGGACGGAGATTCCCGCAGAGAAAGGAAATGTTCGTGCTCAAAATCACGTTTAGAGAACCGTAAATTTGCCTCTTTCCAGCCCCCTGCATGGAAGGGATTTATTTTTCTGCCAAGAGGTCAGAGGTTGTTTTTTTATATAGAGTGCGTCACTAATAAAAAAAAAACTACCATCCAAGTACCGAGCAGAACTAGATTTTCAAGATACCAATATACAATGTTTCCATGTAATGATAAAATATTGCCATTTTCACTTTTGATTGCTTATGATCACCTATGCTGACAGGTATGCCACAAAATAAAACAAAATATTGGATGAGAAATATACATGGTAAATTCTTTAGCTTTTTCTAAAATGACCTTCGGTGTTTCGATTTAAAGCTTCATATTTAGACAAGATCAATCTGCGACTGGATGAAGGCCTCTCCAAGCCTCAACCATCCTAGTTATGAGTCTTACTAAAGCAAAGCATTAAAGAGGTCCGTCTACTGCGGAGATGGAGTGATGAGATCAGTTCTAGCTCAGGCGCTGGATGGAATGTTGCATCACAGGATCGTGACAGGTGGTGGCGACTTGGGGAGGAGGCCTTCAACAGTGGTTTTACCATGGCTGATGGTGATGATGCTGACAATGACAGTCTTCTTATAGCACCCTCTGCTATTGCGTGTCACACCTGCTAAAGTCCACCATTCCCCGTCCGTCCTTTGTCCCGCAGCTGCACCTGATAGCGCTGAACGCCCCGCAGACAGGGGACATGCGTGGCATCCGTGGTGCAGACTTCCAGTGCTTCCAGCAGGCGCGTGCCATCGGCCTGCACGGCACATACCGCGCCTTCCTCTCCTCCAAGGTGCAGGACTTGGCGTCCATCGTGCGACGGGCTGACCGTGCCTCCATGCCCATAATCAACCTCAAGGTAAGCCCCGGGAAGAGCGTGTTGTCACGCGGCTCTGGGTTGTCCATTATTAGAGGCGGCCTCAGTGTTGCCGACTCTTTGAAGCGGAAAGCTGCCAAATGAAGCACGGAAATTCAGGAAATGTCGCTCGATAGAACGTTCTAAATTCGTAAAAAATGACACGATAATTTAGCAAGTATTAAATGTAGTAAACTGATACAGTATTCTTAATATCTGCCAGGAATCATGTCACAGCACATTTTGGCAAGTATAACGTGCCACTTTTACGAAATTTTGTTGCGAGGGAAAGCCAAAAAGTCAAATCGATCTACAGACAAAATGTTAAGTTGCAACACTGTAGCTTCACTGTGTTTTGTGTACCCCCTCCGCTCCAGTAACAAAGGCCTTTCCTCAAAACCCCTGCTCAGTGGAAACTCACGGCTGTGCTGTGGCCCTTTGTTGCTTGAAACTCCCAGCTGACCGTTTTTACTGCTGGCTTCTCCTTTGCCTACAACCAGCCATGCATTCGTTTTTAACCCTTTAACTTTTCTTTCCATTACACCCTACAATCTGTAATCTTGGCCTTAAATTTGTTTTACAAAAATATAAAACCCTCGTTTCTTTCCTGCTCACCTGCATCATCTCGTGATGTTCATCCTTTGGTGTACATTGTCTTGAGATGTGGCTGCGTTCGTGTTTGTTTATTAAACAAAAAATGTTTTATCCATAGCCACTGCCTTTGATTGAAACAGGTGAGATCCCCAAGGAGGAGGAAGCTTTTTTTTACAGCTGTGCACCTAATCTCATCAAAGCCCGTGACAGGGTGTGGGATTTTGAGCAGTTTCCTCACTCTATTGATGTTTATATCCAGGGTGCAAATGTGCTGCTTCCGTTGTATATAAGCAGAACTTCGTTCTGTGTCGCTACATATAAATAAACAGATGTTTAGTTCATCAGCCTATTGGCATTCCACACCAATATACAGCAAAATGTGTTTAAGCAATCAAACTTTGGACTCGTTTTGACCTTCCAGGTCTCATCAGTAGAGTTGGGCTTGTTAAACAAATGTTGCTTAGGTAGATGGGATTGGTACGAGCATTCCATCTCTGTTCATTGCAAAAAGCAATATTCTACACGATTCCATTCCATTGTGAGAAACCCACAAGTCAGCCTTTGTTACTAGAAGTAAAATCAGCCAAGGTAATGATGGGAGTGCTGCAGTAACCCAAGCTTTAACCGTTCACTCTCCTGTGTGACGTTCTGCAAAGAGCTGGAACATGCTTCGTGTGTCGCGTGTGAACTCGCATAATCAGCCTGGCGCCGATGAGAGACCGCTGGCTCATTGGTGAAATCCTCCGTGCCACGCGCATTCAGAGCCTGTGCGGAGATGCTGAGACGATCAATCTTTCTCAACGACAGCACCGCGAGCGCCACCTTAGAAAGAGAACAGCTCGACGCTTATCCCGTAAATCGTTGGCACTTGCATAATGGATTGCCGCTTTGCAGTGTAGTAGTAGTGTGCGTGTGTGTTTATATGTTGGTTTCTTTACCTTTCAGGGAGAGGTGCTCTTCAGGAATTGGGAGGAGATTTTCTCAGGGTCCGGTGGACAAATGAACTCCAATGCTGCCATCTATTCCTTCGACGGCCGCAACATTCTGACGGACCAGGCCTGGTAACAATTGCACCTCCTTGCATAGCGCTGTTATAGTGGAGTAAAAGAAAAATGCATGTGCCTGAATATTAACGCGCAATAGTTTGCATGGTTACATACATTCTTTATCTTTGTGATCATTATCAGTATTTTATATTTTAAAAGCACTTTATATGTCATTATGTATCAAACAGCTTTAAAAACGGTTTAACATGTGAAGCAAAAGCCCCATGAGCTACGTACACAACAACCAATTACTGCACAAAGAAATATACGAATACATATCTTGTATTATAAAAACAATATAATGATTTTTTTGTTGTATTGTGCAAATAGATTGAAAAATATCACAGTTACATCATCATAGATACTCAGTAATGAGTAGAATGACAAAGAGAGAGATCCTACACAGAAATACAATAAAACAATATAAACAATTAGTTTACTATAAGTACAATATTCAGATGGACCGATGCAATTATCTGGTGTGCAGATGTTAGGTGGATTACTGCATCGCAGAATCATTAGAGATGGCAGTCGCTTGAGGAGACATTATTTCAGCACTGGTTTGACCCAGGCTTATGATGATAATAATGATGGAGTCCAACCCGTAAACGTTTACAAATTGTGAATAACATTGACGCAATAATGATATTAATTTCAGGCCCCAGAAGTTGGTGTGGCATGGCTCGGATGAACGAGGGCGCCGCCTAGTCACACAGTACTGCGAGATGTGGCGCGTGGGCGAGACTGGCCGTCACGGGCCAGGCCTCGCCGCTCTCCTCGCACCGCCTGCTGCAGCAGCAGCCGCATGGCTGCGCCTCCAGCTTCGCCGTGCTCTGCATGGAGAACAGCGTCGCTCACGAGCACGTCCGCCGGCGCTGAGCGCTCATCCTCCTCGTCATGATGCCCTCCCTCCCCTCCTGCTCCTCCTTTTCATCACAATCTTCCTCCTCTCCGTCCTCCTCATCCTCTTCATCCAACCACTTCTCCTCCTGCAACTATCCCTCCTCTTCTCTCACTTCTTGCCACCTCCTACTCCAACTCTTCCACATCATCACCATCCTCCTCTTCCTCGCCTCACTCGCACACGAGCCCATGTGGCAGAACAACTATGGTATGTGTTTGTGTATGCGTACATTTGTTATTTCAAACGTACGTGCGTACAACTATATATATCTGTCACTGACGGTACGAGATATGTTGTTTGAAAAAGTTAAGTACCCATTGCACATTTAATGAAACGATCGCTCACTGTCATCTGTGTCTGCTGTTTGATTTTGATATATCTCGCAGTGTGGACTGCAAGGTGGGTTATTTGGCTTGTGTGGCCCCTCTTGGGCCATGATGCATTGGGGACCATGTGGATCCCCGGCCAGTTGCCGAAGGGGATATATGATGCTTAATATGGGAAACGAGGTGAATATTGCCATTTTGAGGATGATGAGAGGTAGCGTGAAGGGTAGAGTGAGATGCTTACTTACCCATGACTCTGCTCCAGGTGCCACTGCCATCACTGTTGACCTCTGGTCCGTTGGCCCTCGGTATCATTACACTGTAATTTATAATGGATCAGCCTTGGTCATGCCTTCTACATGACAAATTGTCTTTCTCATTGTCTGTGAATTCACGTCTCAACAAAATGTGTTAAAAATTTGTTTATGATAAACTACGAGCAGATACAATTAAAAATAGCCAAGTAACAATATATCTGACCGTTTTAGAAACTTCCAGAGTGCTTAACATTTTTTTTATAAGATGCTGAAGAGCACAACAAACTGAGGCATCCTCTTAAGATCTTAATTTTTACGGTAAATGTATGCCTTCATACCACTCAAAATTGGATTTAAATGTAACCCAAGCATTTGTTTCTATGCACCCTATGAAATGATGCGTGTTTTTAAGTTTGAATCTTTCGTGTAAAACTCACAAAATAACAAAGATGTAAATAGTTATGCTTTTTTATGCAATTTTTAAAAAAATTTGACATCCTAAGAAAGATAAATCATTGTAAATGACTTTTCAAAAAAATTCACCCTGAATTAATAGATTCAAAATCACAATGAAAAAAATTCAAGCAATATTTATATTGGCAAAAAAGTGCTAAAATAACGTAGCGTTTTTTTATGCTGTTGAGCTTGGTTTGAAATCGGTTTAAAAATATTTGTATTTGATATCAGTCCACTTGCTTTTACCAGTTATACTGCATTTTATTTACCGTTGTAGCTGTCGGATTTAACTGTATTTTTAACTCTGAGATTTGTTTGCAAATATTTCCAAAAGTATTTCACCAACAACGACCTTTTAGTGTTGTATTAATACCTGTCCGGCATAGTCTCCTTGTCATACTGAATGTGTGCACTTCTCTGTGGGTCTTGTATCGTGTATATTAAATGTGTGCATTGATTTTTTTTACATAATTTCCCACTCCCTTTTTGCAATGTTTATTCTTCAAAATGTATCCAATATTTATAATCTGGGCTCTGTAGAATGGGTTTTACGATGGATATTTCCATTGCGCAAAAATTTACCAAAAAGTTGTTTTTTTCTTCCACAAGTATTTCTTATATGGTGCTGTATTAACTACTAGCAAGGCTTGAATGATTGTCAAGTTGACGAATTCATTGTGTGATCATATTCCTCTTTAAATGACCGTGAATATGATTAAGTTTTAAACCACGTTATTTTACATTCTCATGTCATGTATAAGTTTCAACTAAAAACAGTATATTTTTGCAACGCATTGCAGTTTTTAACGTGCCAGTCGACTTCCTAGTTGTGTGAAGAAATTGAGGACACACGTGTAATTGTGCAGTTCTGGATTGCATTGGGAGCATTTTCGAGAGTAATTCAAGCACACGTTTAGAGCCAAGTTAACGTTGACCACCTAACAGAACTCGCACTGCACTTCTCACCTGTTACTTAATGCCACGACACATCATGCATTTTGGTCCCATGGTAACATTGAAAGCAACAGTCGACAGCCAGAGTATAGCCTGTGTTGCATGTGCACACTGACACTTAATAAAGTGTTGGGGCTCTGACCTGCTCCTTGCCTTTGACTCAATTGAGGTGGATTGAGAGTTGCTGTGGTTACACTTTTCGATTCACGTTCACAGCTCATGAGCCTGAAATAAGTTATTGTTACCGAGGGGTAAGTTCGTCACTTGGCAGGTCGTGGGTAGTAGGAGTAAAGTGTGGTTACTCCCATCGCTTCGAAGATGTCTCACCAGCATAGAATAAGAGGCCAAAATGACCCTCGGTGAAGGGGGTTCTCCCTCTCTCCTGGAGGCTCTTCTTCCTGCAGTGGCGTTGAGCAAAAAAAATCGCAGGGGCTGCAGCTTTACCCGATCCAGCAAATGAGTTACTCGCATACACATTTTCTACTTCTATTTATTGTACAAAGGTTTCCGTGACATTGGGGGAAAAAAAAGATCTACAGATCATAGCACGTTACATTTTAAATCACAGCAAATGAAAAGTCCTAGTCTAGGATCAGCTTTGGTTTCTACTCATCAAACCCGGCAAGCGGATGTACCGTGAGTACACTCCTGGCGTCAACGTCACCCTCCAAGTGACCGAGCTCACGAGAGCGTCCCGTTCTTTTTGTCCCATAAGCCTCCCGCGTGACGCGCAGCACGTGTCACTCGAGCACAGTGAGACGCAGCACGTGTCACGTGTCACTCGAGCACAGTGAGACGCAGCACGTGTCACTCGAGCACGGTGAGACGCAGCACGTGTCACGTGTCACTCGAGCACAGTGAGACGCAGCACGTGTCACGTGTCACTCGAGCACGGTGAGACGCAGCACGTGTCACGTGTCACTCGAGCACGGTGAAACGCAGCACGTGTCACTCGAGCACGGTGAGACGCAGCACGTGTCACGTGTCACTCGAGCACAGTGAGACGCAGCACGTGTCACGTGTCACTCGAGCACGGTGAAACGCAGCACGTGTCACTCGAGCACGGTGAGACGCAGCACGTGTCACGTGTCACTCGAGCACGGTGAGACGCAGCACGTGTCACGTGTCACTCGAGCACGGTGAGACGCAGCACGTGTCACGTGTCACTAGAACACCGTGAGACGCAGCACGTGTCACGTGTCACTCGAGCACAGTGAGACGCAGCACGTGTCACTCGAGCACGGTGAGACGCAGCACGTGTCACGTGTCACTCGAGCACAGTGAGACGCAGCACGTGTCACTCGAGCACGGTGAGACGCAGCACGTGTCACGTGTCACTCGAGCACGGTGAGACGCAGCACGTGTCACGTGTCACTCGAGCACGGTGAGACGCAGCACGTGTCACGTGTCACTCGAGCACGGTGAGACGCAGCACGTGTCACTCGAGCACGGTGAGACGCAGCACGTGTCACGTGTCACTCGAGCATAGTGAGACGCAGCACGTGTCACTCGAGCACGGTGAAACGCAGCACGTGTCACGTGTCACTCGAGCACGGTGAGACGCAGCACGTGTCACGTGTCACTCGAGCACAGTGAGACGCAGCACGTGTCACGTGTCACTCGAGCACGGTGAGACGCCGCACGTGTCACGTGAGCACAGTGAGACGCAGCACGTGTCACTCGAGCACAGTGAAACGCAGCACGTGTCACGTGTCACTCGAGCACCGCGTTCTTCGGCCGCGCGATTCTTACAAAGCACGTCCCCGACGAGTTCCCGCAACACGTGCCGTGACGTCACTGAGGAGCGATCACGCAGCGGCCGACCCCGAGGAGCGGGATCGTCAGGCCGCACGATTGTGCTGCAAGCCCCGCGTCAGGCCTCCCTCTATTTGCGCTGTGCACGTTTGTTTTTGCCCGAACGTTTAGAAATACCGAAAGGTGAATAACACATAAATAACTGGATAAAAAAAACATATACAAAAGACATTTTAAAAAATGCTTACATCTTTTTTTCAAGAAATCTTTTCACTAAATTTTTGACAGTATTTTGTGAGGCTGTGTTGAGTATAGAATTTGTTGCGTTCTATATTGCTTAACTTTTTTAAAATCTTGGCACTTTGACCAATGTTCAGACATCAGATGCTTGAGGATCTGCGCTGGCTCCTTGAATTACAAGCCATTGCTGTAACTCCCCTCTAAAATGCAAGACGTTATTATTCGTATTCTCATTTATGGGTTTCGTTATAATTACAGGTGTGAAAGCAAATGCCAATATTTGGTAGAGCATTGAGGATTTTATAAATCAGAATGCAGGGTTTGAGGTAAATTAGAGCGATTGACTTCCTTGGCATTAAAGTTTAACCCATAAATCGTCAATCCTTCAAAATTGATTTAAAATGATATGAAAGAAACTTACTTAACCAAATAAATAAACAAATAGAATGTAAATAACATCAAACGGTTGATAGAAAGGAGGTGCTTTGGTCCAGCTGGGGGAATTGCTGCAAAGGCATTACAGGATATATAACAGCAGAAATATACTTTTTGGTTAAAGCTTTAGCATATATAATATACACATCCACTGTGGTAGTCCCATGCACGAGTCCTGTATTTTTGTCACTGCTAACCTAAGCTCGTATGGTTTGGGTATGATGGTGTATGTAGAACCATACAGAGTGATTGGCACACAAGCAACGTTCAAACTACTTAGGGAGAACCTCTCATGACTGGGACATATTCTTTGGTGGGTGGGAAAAATGTATTATCAGGAGGAAATGTGGCTGCAAATGGTATGAAGATACTTTTTTATTTAAATAGTTGTCTGAGATGTATGGGGATTTTGCCCAGGAGAAAAATGCATGATGACCTCGCTGTTAAAAAGTACCACTGCTATGTGCCACCTTATATGCGTCTTTGTGTTGCTAATCAGAAAACGCATCGTTTGCTCATGTATGCTGCATCAAAGCCTTACAACACCGGTAAACATTATAACTGCGTGCTGTTCAGTATTTCAATTTCTAAATGTTCTAATAGTACTTGTATACAAACATTGTACATCGTGGGGAAAATAATGACGTTAGCAGTCCTGAGAATCTAGGTTGCTAATTTTATGCCCTTACCATTGACTGTGCACATATATGGTGGTGGGCGGGTGGATGTGGACTGGTGTGTAATTTAATTTGTATTCAAATCTAAATAGAATTTTACTGACAACTACAAGGCTGATATGGCGAATACAATTATGCAGTATTGTATTATCTCATATGATGAAAGATACTGTTTCAAAAACATTTAATTGGCTCAATATAAACCAAAAACTCTGAAAAAAATTTTAACTACTCTTGCTGCTTGGTATATGGATTTAGTTGAATATTTTGACTGTAGGTGGATAAAAGTGTTTCTTTCGGAAAGGTATACACGGTAATCGCAGGAGCAAACTGCGGCCTTGCAAAGTCATAAATCTTGGGATCATTTTATACGTAAAGTGGACATGACAGCCACCTTTTTGTCATTTTGAAGGATGACAACACAGCATGAGGGTACAAACTGGCAATAACCAATGAACCTCAGACTTTCCGAGAGTGGACCATGTTGCCTTCCTAAAGCTGACCAATTTCTGTTTAAAATAAAGCGTGTTTACGGTTTTTACACTTCGCAACCTTTCCCTTTGGCTTTACATCTTGTGCAAGGCAGTTTCTGATTAATGCATTCAGACTGACTCAACTGCTGGTGGCAATTCTGAGATAAGAGGTCAACACATTAAACGTGAGAGGCCCTAATGGTTTCTTCTAAGATCACGCCCATCTGTGACAAAGGGAGATGGAGCTCAGCAGTTATCTTCAACTGCAATGCCTGCATGGTGTGATGGGGCACTGTGATGCTGCGGGACATGCAGTGAACTGCTCAGTGGCGTAACTCGATGTCTCCGGAACTAAGATGATCCCTTCAAGAAAATGAACACGTGGCAGTCCCTGTCCACAGCCGTGAGCGATGCAACAACAATGCTGCAAACGTATTATGAAATTGATTTAAATTGATTAAATATCTACTTTTTTTCGATGGTTGAGAGCGTACAATGAATGTGCTGGGAAATGATGTGTTTCTCATGATCTTCAACTGCTTTCACTGTCAGGGTCACAAGTTAGTCTGCTTTCTACAAGACACCCGCTGCAGGCTGTGTAGGTCTCTTATTGGCAACACTCTGGGCCAATCAGCCCAGGAAGTGCATTTGTGACATACTTTGGGTTATTTCTGTTTTACAAACACTCTTTAAAAATCCATCTAATAGCTACCACGTAACCAGATGTGTTCATTCTCATTATAATTTTTTTGGAGTAAAGTGTGGCTATGGAGCACCACTTTGCTATTAGTGTGCCTTGTATGAACGGATTTGGTTTTGCTAAGGTATCTTTGGCTGAGTCATCAGAATAAAGTAATTCCATATTAAAGCTTTAACATCACGCAGCGGATATTCACTACAAGTCACATTTACATATATGCAAAGTGTTAACACATCCAACCAGGTATACTGTATATAAAGCCTTTTTCACTTGTTTTCCGTCTAGTTTTTTTTGTTATTATCACCTATACACATCCCATCAGATTAAAATCTGACCACACTTGTAATAATGTAAAGGCCAGACCTTAAGAAACCACTCTTTGGGACAAACATTTAAATACGCATAAAAGACCAAAAGTCAAACATTTCCCATAAAATCTAATTTTCTGCAGTTGAAGCTCTGCATAGAAAATAGCAAGAGGTTGGCAATATCATTGATGGTCGATAAAGCTTTGTGATGGCATTTTTGTGTGCATGTGTATACATATACTCTCAAACCAGACTGTTCCCATCAATTTGCCATACTTCCAATATATGTCAAGAAAAAAACACAAGCTGTTCATAATTTGCACAAAAGTTAAAGTAGAAGACTTTAAGCGGAAAGACATACGGTTAGCAATAAAACGTTAACCTTCTGAAAATGTGCAGAAATGTGCAATAATAGTATGACTCAAACAAAGCTCAGTTATCTATGTAACGCTACGAAGGTGTACCTTACCATCAAAATTAAACAGAACCAAAAACACAAGCATAGGGAATATTTTCCCCCAATAGTGGAAATCACTGTAAATCAAAACATTTTTTTCTTATCTTCAGGTTAAAAAGTGATCTTTAATTCTTCAAAAACAAGAGTCCATTCCAGTTATCCAGGTGGCCTGGTCTCCCTGCGCATAATCCACACCAAGCTAGTCAAAGCCGTGAGATGATTCTTCCTCTGCTGGGATTTTGGTGAGGCCTTGCGACAACGCCGCGTGTTCAAAAGTGCCAGGGCCCGGTTCGGTCACCACCACCTTTGGCAGGCCGGTTGCCGGTTGTGGCACGACCAGCGATTGCGGCGTCGTTGGCAGCGCAGGTGGTGGTGGCGGCGGCAGCGGCGGTGGCGGTGTGGCAGGGTCGTGCTGCTTGAGACGTTTGATGGTGTTTTTGAGTGCTTGCCGCTTATTGCAGAACCAGACGCGCACAACCTCGCGGTCATAGCACAGTCTCTCGGCAATGGCCGTCATCTCCTGGCCCGAGGGGTGTGTGTTTCGCTCGAAGTGCGCATTGAGCAACTCCAGCGCCTGCGGCGTGAAAGAGGTGCGGCGCTTGCGCTTCTTGGAGGGCTCGCCGCCCACGAAGTCGCTCAAGCTCTGGAGGCCGGCCTGCTTGCGGGCCTCAGCCTCCTCCATCCAGCGCTCCAACACAGGCTTGATCTTCTGCGCGCTCTTGGGTGTGATGTCCAGCTTCTCGAACCTGGCAGGACATAAAAGCCCAGGGTTCAGTTTTCCTGAGGCCCCGTGGGAGTCGAGAGAGCTGCTGCTATTAGCGCTCGCGTTAATTGCGTCTCCAGCTCTTGCTGCTCCGAAGGCCGGCAGGAACAAGTCGGCTCGCATGAGGAGGGCGTTCCTGCCAGAAGTTGGAGAAAAAAGTCTCACTTTGTGGCCGACTGCCTTAACAGTTTGCTTTACAAATTATCTGCTGCTTTGTGTTTGGTGAGGGTAAATGTATGGTTTACATTAAAAAAAACATTTTTTTAAAAATAACTGCAGTTCAATACTGACATTTGAATATTTGCAGTAATTAGTGGTAATTATATATTTCCAAAGGCTTGCGTTTGAATTATAGTGATTAGTGTAAAAAGTATGGATGTAAAAAAAAACATGTTTGATCTATTTGGGCGAATACATGAATACTCATCACTTATCATTTACATGACGTTTAAAGTGAAGGTCAAAGAATGAGGAATTATTGTATAATTAACTACTAACAACGGTATTTATCCATGAAAGTCGCACTGAGTCTCAACCATTTTTGAAGAGTATTATAACTTGTGCTTTTTGATCAATTTATTTTAAATAAGGATTTTGCATGTGGTAGAAAACTGGAGAACCAGGAGAATATCTGCTCATAATTTAAGGTGTGGTTGGCTTCATGAAGCCATATTCTGTACCGCCATCATCTGGCCAAATTGTGCTCAGTGTGTTTTGAAGTTTAAGGATTCTGCGTGATCCGGAAACCAGTCTACACAACAAAGGCTCATTCCTAGCAGCAGCCTCAGCCGCACCAACCTTACAATAATAATACAAAACTCCCATCCAGGGGCCTCCCTTGGCTCCTCCCCCCTCAACCACTATATATACAAGGTCGGGTCTCTTAGAATTTATCTTTACTTGATACAGCAATCGTGCTGTGACGGTTCCACCTGAAGACGGAAGCTTGTGTTGCCTCCGAAACGTCGTGATTTTTTTATTTTACTTTTATTAATTTAAATTTTATTTTTTACCTACGTGACTTTACCGAAAAAACCTAAGAGTATGATCCAGAAACCTTTGTCTCCAAAGCACTGGATCGCAGGCGTGCGCCACCACGCTGCCAGTCATCAAATCTTACCATAACTGGGATGCTAAAACTCTGGACAGCATTGGCGCAAGTGTCTCCACGTCCATTTACAATTCTAAAAAGGTGTGCCGCGCGGTGGCCATGCTTACCTGCATATTGCGGACTGGCTGTAGGCAGGACCCTCGGCGGCACTGAGTGCCTGTCCAACCTGAGTCTGCGTCAGGCCCAGCGAGAGGCGACGGATCTTGAATGCTCGCGCGAACTCGCGCATCTCCTCCAGGTTCACACCATCCACCTCTCCGCACGGGCCCTGTGGGTCTGCGAGAATGGGCACACGATCACGTTGATCACCAGGGCTTAATTGCAGCCGGGTTTGTCCAGGGCTGACAATATATCTATACTCGACACCCCACATCCAGTATGCCACCATCCATTCAACGACCATACTACAGATCTAAACACTTCTCTTTCTGCTTCTGTCCACGCATTGCTTGACTTTTCAATAAGTGTATTAACTCTTATCAACTATACCTTCAATAGTGCTATTTGTTGTAGGCAGCAGGGCATTTTGGACCTGTGGGCCTATGCTTAGGAACTGTACTAGGAAAAAAACCTCTGATTATGTCTATAATAATAGTGCATTCTCCAGCCTACCTGCAACATGGAATCATTATCACTTCATATTGGCATAACTTTTCAATAAGGAAAACGTGCAAGAATTAATGCATTAATTATGTTATTACCAGCAACCTCGGTGAGAAATTAAGCCCTGCTGATGACACACTTTAATGCAGAATGTAACAATTTTTGAAACCACGGGAGGCAGCTAAACCCGAAAGGTTGTGAGTCTTCTTGAAACATGACCAGGCAGTTTGTTGAAATGTTTAAACAAGAGGGTGGCCAAATCCGACTTTAGCGAATGCTATCAATCGTGTACTGGTGTCGGCTCACATTAGCGGTGGATAGCAACAGCGAGCGAGCGACCAGCGCTCACCACTTTGAATCCTCCTGACTTCACTTCCCCGCCGCTTTGCGTGTGGCCATGGGAGGCTGTGGGGCGAAAGACTCACTGTTCACCAGCTGCCCCACGCTCGGAGAAGAGGGAGACAGCGACTGTGGGGCGGACGAGCCGGGGCTCTGGCCCAGCCCGCCCTGTCCATGCGCCAGAGACCCGGGCCCAGGGGGAACTACGTGGAGAAGGCCAGGCGGGGTGGAGCCTTGTCCCCCTTGTTGTCCGTGCACCTGGATGCAGCAGCACAGGTCGTCAGAGCGATACACAACGCAACAAAAGGCCGTGATGCAAAGTGTATTGATTCAAAAAATAAATCACAATTGTATTTTCTCTTGGCATCATGCTGTAAGAATTAAATGTACGTTCACAACCCTACAGTTAGAAGTATGTCACCCGTGTCATATAATGGCTCTGCAAAGTAGTGACACAGAACTCCTTCTGAAGTCACTCAAATAGACCTCTTTAGTCATAGCAGGGGCACAGCTTTTAATGCCCTGCACAGATTGACAGGTTGTCAGAGCTGAAATAAGCTATATAAAATAAAACAACAATTTTGATATAATGGAGTTTTTTTTTGTACAATCATTTTGGCTGAGAACATGAACTCCACAATGTGTAAGCACCCAGTTATGCATTGGTAGCTGCCTGGATTCCAATCCAGGTTTTCTGCAACGTCGGCTCAATGCTCTAGCCACCAAGCCACCTCAACGATTATCTCTCAATTACCTGTGGATGGAGGGTTAACTGTGGTATCGAGAAAAAAAAAGTCTTAGTCCACAATTAATGAAGTATTAGTCGCTTCTTTCTCATCGAGTGCCAGTGATTCAATGACCACAAACATGTCGGCAGGTAAACCGATGACTTTGAGAAGCAAAGAAATACAACAGATGACACTGCACATCGACTCTGTAAGTGAACAATTATTGTTGTATAGCCTAATATGCGTATGTTTTGCATTATCCGTGTTTTTGTTTTATCCAGGCCACCCCTCCCCCTATTAGCCCCAATAATTGAGACTCTTTTTTCATCAAGGTTGTTGAGCACAGACATGCCAAATGGCGAGTGACAAACAGTACGTCTTAAAGGTGTAATTGATAGGTATTTTCTTCTTCTAATTTCGATGGCATCGTGAGAATGTGCAGTGTCCAGTTCAAGCGTGCACCTGCTGCTGCCCAGGCGCCTTCATTGAGGATAGGGTGAGGCCTTGCGGGTTGAGGACCGGCAAGATCTGGTTTCCCACCAGCATGGCCACCACTTGGCCTTGGGTGTTGGTGAGGAGCTGGGGGCTCAGAGGCAGCCCAGTGGCGCCCATCCCCGCTGCGCCGGTGCCTGACCCCCCTCCCCCGACCAGTGGGATGGTCCCGATGAGCTGTGTGGGAAGACGGGCGCTATCGGTCAGAGGTCATCGCGGCGTTTAACTTGTCACGGGGATTTTTGTTGTTGTTGTTGTCACGCATTAAATAGCCAAAACCATGGTGTTTTTAATCTAGATTTTAAGTTTTTGTGACTGCAGGGATCTATACTTTTTGGTTCTTTCGGTAAAGTCACGTAGGGATAAAATAAAATAAATTAAATCACGACGTTTCGGCCGCAACACAAGCGTCCATCATCAGGTGGGACAACCACTTCAGCAATTGTTTCTTGCTGTGGTTGTCCCACCTGATGACGGACGCTTGTGTTGCGCCTGAAACGTCGTGATTTATTTTATTTTATACCTACGTGACTTTACCGAAAGAACCAAATATCATGGTGTTTTGATTCCTGCTTCTTCGTGCACCCTGAAGTGTTTGGAATGCGCACGCCTTGAGATGCCAGAACCCCCAATATTCCACGCACATTCTGCTGGTGCCTCAGGAAGTGTCCCGCGCAGACTGCTGCTGGCAGTGATAGGGAACTAAGCCTAGGAGGTAAAGCATTATCTGTCAAAATAAATCGATGTAATGACAGTGACGAATGTGGCCAGTACCAATAAAAGCTTGTTAATCATCATTTAATCATCATCAATAGCCAGGGCCAATCCGTTGCTGGATGAAGGCTTGCCCCCCTGCTCTGTCGCCATCCCTCACGGCGCTGCGATCCTGCAGTACATCTTGGTGTCATGCAAATGTGCTAATCTTATAGCTCCATCTCCATGGTTTGGACCTCGGCCGTCTTCGCTCCTTCGGCTGCTATTCCGTCGCCAGTCTCATCCATCATCCATTATCCCTTCTACTCCTCAAGCCTAATTTATCTCCTAACTAAACTCACTTTTCTGAGCAGTCATTCCCTACTAATTTGCATTTCTTCTCCAGATCCATGTCTTTACGTTTATGTCTCTAAATGCAATGCCAAGCATGCACCTTTCAATGCTTCTTTGCACAGTTTTCAACTTTTTATTCTGTTATCTCTGTCAACATCCATATGCCATAGCAGGAAATATACACTGATTGAAAATTCCCTCTGTAGGAACCATGTTATGTTGCTTCTTGTTATCAACAACTATTGATCAAAAAGCACTTCAAAGTTCCTTCAATAACTGCCATAATTATACATTGTCTGTTATGTTTTCCAGTTGTGTTCCTCCAACAATTATCTTCTTTTGTCCAACAAACTTGTACATAACTTTTGTTGTGCTCAAATTTGCTGAACCCCACCCTGTAGTCTACTCTTCTATATTTTCCCTGTAGTTAACTTCCCTTGGCTGTCATAATCAGTAGGTCTTCAACTAAAATCTAACATAGCTCGTTTTTTTATATGAAAACCTTGACCCAACCCGGATTTATCGAACGCGTTTTTCGGCTTCCCTACCACACGGTCTGTTTTCCTGAACACGGGGGTGATATTTCGTCTCGACACGTAGTGCCGTGATAGTGCTGCATCCGTTGGGAGATGTGAATGAATCAACTGTGAGAACGATTTCTAGACGATGTATATGTTTTGGTTTTTGTGTGTTTTTTTTCCCCGTGTGATAATGTAACACGCGCTCAACACGCACAACGACAACTTCGCATATCGCTCCGCATGCAAGTCACACGGACGCCTCGATGGCGAATCGTGAACGCTCGAAGTTTCGATTTAAAGCTTTCGTGACTGCAGGGATTCATCTTCTTGGTTCTTTCGGTAAAGTCACGTAGAAAGAAAAAAACATAATAAAATAAAATTTTATTTTTTCCCTTCTACGTTCTTTCGGTAAAGTCACGTAGAAGGGAAATAAAAAAAATACAAAAATAAAATTAAGTTTTATATAAAATAAGATTATGTTTTATTTTATCAGATTATTTCCCTTCTACGTGCCTTTACCGAAAGAACCAAGAAGAACGCTCAAAGTGACAAGAGATCGGGCCGAACGTTTGGCGTGAGTGCCGCGGTGCGGGACAATGAATGGAGACAATGGAGACGGGGATGGTTTGTTGAGGTGACATTGAAAAATAAAGAGTGTACACACACACTATAAATGGAGAGCGACTCAGCATCCTTCTGTACAAATAACATGGGTGGAAAACATAAAATTATTTAAAAGAGGCAGGGGGTGATCATTTTTGGACCCAGAAACGCAGCTGTATTTTCCCATAAGGTTTATTATTCGTCGGACAAGGTTTTGCCCAACAGAATTTTCCAGGAACATAACCCCTGCGTTTGGGGAGGTCTGGCTGCCTTTTCATTTACAGTATATATTCGAATGTGACCATGAATAGCCTTTGGTGGGGGCGTATCTTATCGCATGACTCATGTTATTTTTGTTACTTTTGATCAAATCAACTAAGAATCACATTGACCACGTACATACATTCGATCATTGGATTCTTGAGACAAATCTAAAATACCATTATGGCTGGCTTTTGTCGACCATGAGAAGGCATTTATTCGGTGGAAACTAATGCAATCATCCAGGCTCTCAATGAACGAGGCCTTAAATAACATACAGTAATAAAATACAATACATACAGAAACGATCTAAACTATTTACAGAGATGACACAGCTACATTGAGGTGCAGTTGCATTTACATATTCATCCAGCATGTACCGTGTTGTAGTTACTCATGAGGTAACATTCCCATAGCAAATGTCAACTAATGCCTACTGCCACTGTGTATTGTTGTGTAATGATATTGATTGAAATTACAGAATGGAGATATGTTTTCATAAATTACTCTCCTCTTGGTATCCATTCATCAAACACAACTTAAAGTAATACGCAACCCAAAATAAAAAAATGCCTTGGCGACACACACTCAGGCAGTGTATTAGGCTCCCGAGCGCAGTTTAAAGCTTTGTAAATGAGAAAAAAATACACTTAAGTAACTTTAAGCTTTTGCTCTCGCTCCGTCACTGCAATGGCTTTCAGTATTAATACGTAAACGGTCAGTTATCGCCCACAGCCTAAGCATGTCACTTAAAAGATGAGATATTTTCTACTTTGCGTTGCATCTTCCTTAAAGTACAATCACTAACGTTTGTATCACGCAGCGTAGTACACGTGACGTTTTGTCAGCTATAATGCCCACAGCGCAGGCGATAAACACGGCAGTTTCGTTTACGGCATACGATTGTTAGCACCAAGTGTCTAATTCAATCAAATCACCGGGCTAGGGTAGCAGAATACATTACACATTGCTGAAGCGGCAGTTTCATATGCATGCATTTAAGTATTTATATAGAACTAATGCAATAATTATCATCAGTCGGTGGCATTGTACCAGCCAAAGAGGGCGCGCGTGCCATCAATGATTTAAGGTCGTGTTTTGTAAAAGTTAATATTTATATAAAAGCCTTCTTAGATGGGTACATTATGTTTCATCTCTAGCTGTAAGATTCCTGCTCTGACTTGCATGTCTTATTCATAATTATAACTCCAACTAAAAGCACTTTGTGTCGGTATTTTCCTGGCATTTTACATGTTTTTTCCCCCTATTACACCATTAATTATTGATGGAAATTAAATGATTCATTACAAAATATATCTGGCTGAGAATATTTAAATTCTCAAATAATTTTAGGAATGAAAAGTCAGTCATTTCTAATGTGAATATATCTTCAGAGTAAGTTGTGTTATTTAACAGATTTAGTACAAATCCATCCATCCATAACAGTTTTTTTTTGGGTTAGATTGCGTATATATAAATGTGTCGTTAAACCCGCCACCACCCGACACAGCCAACTAGTAAGAGTTGTCAATAAACAGAACATGCCAATTCGTCACTAGTACAACAACACCGGTGTGTTGGAGAGCCAAGCCACGACATTTACAATCCGAGTACGACGTTTCGCCAGTAATTACAACACGCTTCATCAGGCGACAACCAGATTTGTGGAGAAGTTCACCTGTTTCTATTATGGATGATATTGGTCGCGAAAGCCTACGTGTTAAAATATTATGCAAGATGTATGCTATACTCACGAAAAACTCCCAATGAATCACATTTTAAAATCACTTCATAATCTACAGTAACACATAACTTACATACTCCGTGTGAATAGTCATCATAAAGATGGGGAATTTGTAGCAGATTTTAATTCAATCGAAATTTAATTAGACGGCATGGAAAATAACAAATAAACGGTTGCGGCTTTCAACACATGCATGCGTGCCATTCATGGGCTAATGAGCAAGCCTCCATTAAGTTAATTACAAAGTCCTAAGTGGGGAGCTATTCACACTTGGCGATCGATGGGCGCATAACTAGGCAGCGCCTCCTGCCGCCTAATCTATTGCACGGTGGCCCGCAACACGCCACTCATGTTGCCAATTACTGAGCCATCACGAGCAAGCGTTAAAAGACGCAAACGTGGGCTCTCTGTTGCACTTTCTCTTAATTAGAATATAAAAAAGCTAAGAAAATGGCGGTGCTCTTTTCAGACCTGGTTAAATTATTGAGTACAAAAATAGTGAAAAGCACCACTTTTTCCACCCCCTCTCCACCTGCCCACAAGAGCTTGCTTTCTTTGTCACGGGCACAGGATTTATAGCTGGGTTCTATGTCATTTAGGGTGCACATTCGGACCCTGTGGGAAGAAAATAAAGTAGGTAGAACGTGCACATTGTTGGTTAGGTTAAAACAAAAATGTAACCCAATACGAGCCGTGAATAACTTTTTAGAGTGGAGGTACAACATGTTCGTGTGATTTACTAAAATTCACATGGTGTGAGCTCCACACCTCTTTCATAAAGTGCCATGCTTTATCCTTAATTAGGCAACAGAGATGACAATAATAATGTGGCTTAAAAAATGGCTATGCACGCAGCCAATCTATGATCGTTTTTAATTACTGAAATAATTGCAAAGGCCATAAAGAAACTCAAAAAAACAATAAACTTAATTGAGCAAATCAAATCAAGAATGTCATTAACCTAGTGCATGGCAATAACAGAGTTCTCATCGTGACAAACAAATTAAAATAACAGTCATAATCGAGCAGAAAAGAACAGCAGCAGCCACACCGCATGCATGTTTGACTAAATCTTCTTGGTTCTTTCGGTAAAGTCACGTAGAAGGGAAATAATAAAAAAATAAAAATAAAACATTATAAAATAATTCTCACGACGTTTCGGCCACAACGCAAGCAGCCGTCCTCAGGTGAAGAACAGGTCTGTCGGAAAGACAGCGTCTGAATGAAACACCACCAGGCTTGGAGCGTATATTTAAGCTGGGTTGGAGGGGGAAGAGCGCCTTGACAAAGAATTTGCATTTCAAGAGGAATTTAGCATATTTATGGGAAATGCAGATATGTGATTAGTAATTACTTGTGGAATGCATAAGAGGTGGGCGGGGGGTTTCATAGTCACAATATGCCCGTGCATTATGCAGGATTAGCAGCATCAAAGGGAGGGAATATGATTAGCTAAAGTTAATAATTATTACATGCATATCTGGCTATAGGTCAAGGCATGATCCTCGCAATAACTTTGGCTGTAGATGATAGCAGAGCCCAGCTGCGAGTCACGTACCTGCCCCTGTGCGTTCGTGATGAGCTGACCCGCCACCCCGGGCAGGCCCGCGGCGAGCGCCCCGGCGAAAATGTGAGCGCTGGGAGGCAGGGACCCCGAGGCCGCGACGGCCGCCGCCACCGCGGCCACCGCCGCCGGAGACGTGAGAGGGCCTCCCACGAGCTGCCGGGGAGAGCAGCCGTGCCACACGTAGCCTCTTTAACTTCCCCAACGCCCACGGCCCGAGCATGTGAGCCCCTTGTGTGCCGGGCGGCATCTACATGTGCATGCGGTTGGCTTGGAATGAGACTAGTTGCATATGTCACAACACAGCGAAGGGGTCTGATTTCTTGGAGGCTCTTGGTGCCAACAAATGAATGTGATGCTGAGATTAGTAATGGTTCTGTACGTATTGTAAGAAGCCGTGTTATATGATGTGGGTTATAGTGTAAGCTCATCTTACAAAAGAAGACATTTAACAAATATAAATGTCAGTAGTCTATGACCATGTATTACACACAAATACATTTATACTGCAGTGTGGCCTGATATTGCTTCACTGCCGTACATCCCATGGTTATTGTCGCACAAAGAAATCATGACATTTAGGCGCACACCCTTATTGGCGTAATGCCCTTTAACGTTAACTGCACTTATTGTCAGCCATGCCGGGAAATGAAACGCACAATATTAAGTCGGTCCCACTGTATACAGTTGTAGCTGGCTATTGATTGGTTACTTGAGGCACACGTTGAAGCAAAAAAAAACCCCGACAAGGACACTCGCATACGTGAGAAGGACACAACGGGTTGAACAGTGTAACAGGAAAAATAATTCAAAAGTCACTTTTTGATCAGTCAGCAGGCCTCAAAGTATAACCCATTATCATGGCCTATCAATCCGCTATGTCTCAGGCCTGCTCTTGAAATATTCATCAAAGTGTTTGGCGCTGCCGGTTGGACCCGTGTGAAGATGCCACAACAAATCCTCGAGCACCCACATCAGAGCAACATTATGCCGCTTTTAAATCCTCGGCGTGTTACTTCAGCCCCAGAGATACCGTTTTCAGACACATTTCTTCTTCTTCTTCCTTTACAATGAACTCAATTTTCCTGCATCATTATTAAGCTGCCTTTGACCGAGATTGTTTGGCCCTTTCGTAAGTGGTCATAGGATTCTCATCAATGTCTCTTCGGGAACTGACCATGTGAGCTCAGCCACTACACAGAAGCTAACCAGCCATGACATCCAGAAACTGCACAATGCGCTCGCCTCGGATCAACCCTCTTCACCCCGTTTTCCTATCCTCGCCAGAAAGAAAAATCTGACACTGTGACTTCAGTGGTTTTTCCTTCCTGAACACAAGAACGCCATTAAAGGTGCTGGTAAGAAAGCCCTAAAATATCCGCGCGGGAGTACACTGCTACGCCCAAATATCGACCCCTAGTGCGGCTCAGTGGGCATGTTGATTTCTGGAACTGATGTGTTCGTGGGAAGGAGCGGAGCGTCCTGGGAGAAGACTTCTTTCCACTCGTGCAACCGCACACTTTGGGGGCAGTGCGGGCAGTGTCCGGCTGTGAGTAAAGCATACGTCTGAATCTTATACATATAAATTGCAACTCAGCCGTGCATTAATGCACTGAATTGCTTCAGAAAGCATTAGTAAGGCTTTTTATATTAGGGGGAAAAAAGAGGACATTTTAAATTTTGATACCTGTTAAAAAAGAATCCCATGAGCTTCACATGCGTATAAATAATTCATATACGTAAAAAAACTAAACAAATGCTTTTATGTTTTGAGTATTTTTAAGTGTATAGACATGCCTGCCTTACTATCAAATGGAATGCGCTGAGTACACAGGCTCATACCATTTCGACTACAAAGTAACCAGGTACCACAACTCGGGTACGGAGAATCACAGCAAAATGCGGTGCGAAAACAGGAGAAGGCTTGCGAGTGTGCACTTAAGCGTGCGTTTTACGGGAAGGCTGCTGCCTTGGCTGGATGGCGGCTGGCTTGGGTTGGCAGCTGACGAGGATTTCCGCGGGGATGCTCCATGTTTTGCTTGCTGAGTCTGAGGTTGCTGTTGCTGCTGCTGCTGATGCTGCTGCTGTTGCTGCTGTTGTTGCTGTTGTTGCAGCTGCTGTAACTGGTGCAACTGCTGGATTTGAGCATTCAGCGAGGAGGTAGCTGCAGAAAGAATAATGGTAATAATATTGATAAAAGACAACAACGATGGCAGTCAATCTATACTATATATTCAGGATACGTTACATCTTATGAAATTATATTCAACTGCATGAAATAAGCTCATCGAAAACAACAGATTTAACAATGTACAAAGGAGTGCATTACATGTGACCAGCTGAAAATAGCTCAATGTGAAAAATGGGTACTTATTCAGTTATTTTGAGTTGGTGGTTGGAATAATGCTGAGAGGTGTTGTACATACAATATACAATCTTGATTTGAAGCTTTCGTGACTGCAGGAATCCATACTCTTTGGTTCTTTCGGTAAAGTCACATGACTTTGGAAGTAATATCTTCTTTCGGTAAAATCACATGACTTTACCAAAATAACCAAAGAGTATGCAATATACACTTTCGTGGACTGTTAAATCTATTTGTTTCCGGACTGCATACATTTTTTTCTGTAGTGATAGCTTTCAGTGTCATTTTCAAATCTGAATTCGAAGGAAAAAAACGGAAACTAATGCTCGGATGAAAAAAAAATGTCAAGTGAAATGTAAGTACAAAAAATAAAATGTATAATTATTCAATTGGAAGTAATATCTTTAAACAAGAGATCAGTCGACAGCCACAGCCATTTGACAGTTATTTTGCCCTGAATCTCCATATATTCGTGTTAAACGAAAAGGTAAAGCCCTCCACTAGCCCTTCTGAATAATATCATGGTCTATTCTTCTATGGTGGCTAGACATCTTGGAAAAAGTGGAAGTATTTACCCTCTACCCCGCCACACACAACCTGCCTTTCAACGAACTGGTGTATCCATTTATACTGCCGGGTGGCCAGAGGCCGGGGGATTTCAGAACCTGGCCTATTGCGTCGTGCCACACCGGGAGATCGAATCGAGTTGGCGATCTTTGAATGAAAGTCTGGTGTGCTAACAATTACACGATGGCAGCATCCCTATACTGTGTATTAAAACTAACTAAAAACATAAACAATTACATATTATATTATTTCCCTTCTACGTGACTTTACTGAAAGAACCAAGAAGATGAATTACATAATAACCAAGGGCACAGGTAGTGGCAATAATAATATGTTTATATATATATTAATAAATCAAATATTTTTGTATTGCTTTGTCACGTTCATTTTACGTACAGACACACCGCTCACCCAAGGCCAGAGGATGACGGGGGCTGCTGAGTGGGATTCACAACACCAATCGACTCCTTTAACAAATGTAGCGACCTACTGCTCGTTCTTGATAACTATGGCCTCAAAACATCATCGAAGGTGCACAGATCTGAAGAATGAGCAGCAGGGGAATCCATTTTCTCCATAAAGGTGATTTGGTACTGTGAGCTGCTCTCATAACCGACAATAATCCAGTGGCCTTGATGTAAGTACGCACTTGGCGTATAACGATGTATTGATTGAATTCGATATTTAAGCTGACAACACATTAATCGAATCATGTGCCTGAAATTGTATTTGGTTAAGGTCCACACAAATGACGTAAAAAATATATGCTAATGTTATTTAGACTTACGGAGCAAACTGTGCCAAAGAGACAACTAAAATTATCGCCATTTCTCAAGGTCTCCCGATGCCACATTTCATCGAGGTCCTGCACATGAGCTGATCTCATTGCTGCATTGTTCTCTCCATTGGCTGCCGTTATGTTATCAGTCACAACCAATGGCCATCATGCCTTCCTTGCGAGGTGTTCTGCCTAAGGCCACTTTTATTTCACAGTCAATAACATTTGCTTGCTTGGCTCTAATTTCTTTGTTCTCTGATATTCATTGTCTCGCTCATTGCCCTTTCAAGCGTGCCTCTCCACGTTTCTTTGTGCACTTTTCAGCTTTCGTAAAAACAGTGTGCCAGTGTCCATGTTTCTCATCCATGCGTTATATGTAGCAGGTAATGTGCACCGATTAAAATTAGTCTTATTTTAGGTGCATTGCTGTGTTGCTTTTCATAATCACATATTTCCAAAAAGTACTAGAACCTGCTCTTGTGCACCTCTTTATTTAATTATATATTATCCAAGCAAGCCTTCAGTAATTGCCCTCGGGATACACATTCTGTTGTATTTTCCAGTATTGTCCCTTGAACGATTTTTTCTTCCATGAAATTTGTTGTTCAAATGTGTATTATAGCTCAATTTTGCAACCTACTTAGTCAAGTTCTTCAATAATATCCTGTATTTATTTCTCATAAGTTGTCATTATGGTAATGTCATCGGCAAAATCTGAGATATACCTCCTCCATTCATGTTTGTCTTCAAGCCAATTTTTTGGGGAAATTCATGTAGTCATCCATGTTTGAATCAACGAATGCAAAAATAAATGTTTTAGATTATATATTTTTAAAAATTACAAAATGACAAGGATTGAACAGCTGCACTGAGATTGAATATATTAAGGATTTTCCTGAAAGTAATAATATAAGTAATAAATATATATATTTATTTTTTATCGTATAGGAGATATGCTAACATCAAACTTATTCAGTGTAAATTTAAAATATATTTTGAAAATTGACATTCTTTTCATACAAACATAATAATCCTAACAGGAGCGGTACATTTTCTGGTTCCTAATTGCTACATTATAGCTATGGGTTTTCGCATAATAGTTTTAAAGACTTTGAGCATACTATTTTAATAAGCTCACATCTCCATCCCACTTAGTGTATCTATAATACAGCTTGAAGACAATTATTATGTTCCAGCCAGAGCATAATCAATACCTCAAGAGGGATACATTTTTGCATGGACCCATCCCCCAGCGTCTCTTTGGGTTATGTTTAATACCGGTTTGTGATGCTTCACCAAGACTAGCTCCCTTTTTGAGATTGCTTGTCCGAGGAATGTTAACTGGAATGTCCTCATTATGAACATAGCATACATACCTGCGGCACACTGGACAGATCAATTTCTCCCTTCGTCATGCAAAATATCTATTACAACACGAAAGCAATATGACCAGATTTTATTTTAGTTTTCAGTACATGGCAACATTTTAATATATAATTTATACACATTTGAAATCAACTACGGTGCTTTGTAATTGGGTATTAACTACATTCTTCTTTGTGTCCTTTATGAAATGTATTGATAGACATAATTGTTGTAGTTTTGTATTTTATATTACCATTTAAAAAAATATACAATTCTATGTTTTAAGCTTCTATTTTTATATAAAACACATGTTGTGTGTGCATTCTTTTTTATATATATAAGTTTTGGCTTAAAAATTACTGCTATTAAATGTCTAGCACCGAGAATGGCTCTCTAAGCGAAGCCATTACCGGGCATTTTACTTAACCGCTCCATTCACCGTGATGTATGCTGTTTTCATGATGTCTGTATGACAGCTGCAGTTTAGCCGTGTGCCCGATGTGAGCGGAGAAATCGATAGTTCTGAAGAGATATACAATTTTAATGGTGGTTAAACTGTCAGCGCTGTGTCCGTAATGGGGTCACGACGAATTTCATCATCCGCTGGAACGTGACTGAGTTATCGTTATGCGGCAGGCGCGCACTGGTGTTAGCCTGTCAGACACCGCAGACACCTCTGATGACTCCCCAGCCGTGCTGCTTTATGCGGGCTCGTTGCGGTCTGAAAAATATGAACTCGGCCAATCGGCCTTTAAAAAATATGCGCATAAAGTGGGCTTCTTAAATAGAGTACATTAGAGCCATGCGAGAGAACATGTGAGATCAAGTGGCTTTCTTTGTATGCCACATATATAAATGCAGATAGCAAACAAAGACCGCTGCATAGGTTTTCGTGGTTGTGCTGTTTCGCTCTGCAATGCGTTTTTGGGTTCTACCGGATGTTTGATTGGCACGTCGGAGAGCTCTAGCAATCAAGCCATTTAAAGTGGATAAACCCCCAATGATATGCAATCGCTCTTTTGCACCGAGACACAATATCTCTTTGGAAATGCTGTACTTGTAATACACCCCGATGGTGCTTTGCAATCTCAAAGCACCGGAGCTGTGGCTGGTTTGAGAACGAGTATGTGTAAATCTACAAGCTGGACGTGTTGGCCAGTCCCACCTTGGGCACTCGAATATGGGAGGTGAATCACGACCCGGACTGTGAAAGTCAGCAGCAGCTGGGCCCGGCACAAAGGAAATCTCCCACCACGGAAAGGTGTGTCAGCAAAGTGTGGAAGAAGCCCATTTGCAACACCGCCCACCGTTAGAGGGAATGCAGCATTCAGCCTCAAGCTACTCGGTGGCTGGTTTAGGATTGTTAGTTACTGAGCTGATATGCAGGTTAAGTTTGCGCAGGCGAGGATAAACCTCGGTTGCTCATGGATGTATTACAGCCCTTATAAACGGAAAGCCCCATGCACATGCTGTTGGTGAAAATGAAAAAAAGTAGTATCAACATAATTGTATGTGTCAATTAATCAATAATAGTTCCTGTCTTTACATTTCATAAATGGATACATCACTATTTAATATCTTCACAGTTTAATTGCCTTTAAACATAATAATCCCACTGACATGCACACAGCTTATATATGGAAGATTCCTCTAATTATTTGTTTTATGGGGGCTGATGTCAAATCTCAGATGGGTAAAAACTCTGCTCTCAATATGCCAGTGTGTTACAGATTTAATTTAAACAAACTCGGCAGACAAATCTTGACACCGTACACAACGGCAGATTTTTTTTTAAAAATCTCAATTTGTTGTGTTTAAACATTTTAACATAAACGCTTTACATTTCTCCTTCCGTTTCTCACAATTCTTTCGACCCCCCCTCACCCCCCCACCAAAAAAATTACCAGAAGACGCAACGATTGCCCGGAGGCCCCAGCGGTGGACGGTGGGGCCCGGCGACGGCACACACGCGTGTTCCGTTCGGATTGATCCCTCCCTTTCATTACCCTGAGTGGAGCAGACAGCTGATTACAGCCTTGCCCACCCGTGGCACCGGGCCTGTCAACCCCGCACACCCTGCATCACGGCA